ATGTACTCTGTTAACCGTCAAGTCAAGTCTTATCGCCAGGGCGACCAGACCACCTTCACCTCTTGTAGTTGCTCCGACTTTCGATGCGACGCCCCCCCCCTATCGTTCCCCATGCCCTTCCTCCACCGCCACAGCACCAGCAGGCTACCCACGATCTCGGCGAACGCCATGATGGAGATGCCGAGCAACGAGCTGCTGTCCTCATCTTCCCCTGCCGCATTTCGATGTTGTTGTTGTTGTTGTTGTTGTTGTTGTTGTTGTGTGGGGAAAGAAACGATTCGTCGTTACGGATAGACACCAAGTACGGTGCAACAGCAGTCCTTGGGCACTGCTGTGGGCGTCTCTCAGTAGTGCCGGCGTGTGCCTGTGTGTCGATGGGGAAAGAAAAAAGCTTTGTCGCTACGGGTATAGGTACTAGAGCGAAGCACAACAAAAAGAGTCCTTCGATGCTATCCGCGGGCCGCGGGCGTCCCGCAGCGGAGCCCGTGTGTGCTCGTCAAATTCGCCGGCACCGTTCCGGAGTAAAAAACCCGGTTCAGCTCAGCATGAGACGCCTCGAATGTTCAATACTTCGTCTCTTTCAGGACTATGCCGGGCATAGGCACTATGTATATTCAACCAGCACAATTGAGCGACCCCAACTGCTCCGTCCTCTCGAGGACGCGTGGTCAATGGTCTAACCACTACGGCAAATACAAACCATAAAAAGTACGCCCCCCGCCCCCACTGCCAACTATCAGTGTTGCTATGTCTTCTTCCGCCCCCTGTTTGTTGTGTGGGAAACGGACGGAAAACGGGTACCGTAGGCGGCACAAGGTACCGCACCCCCTGGACAGATCTCCGAAGCCCGATCACTCCACGACCAAGAGAATGCATGAATGAAACGATCCGTGTATGTTTTCGGAAAGAGCTCGACGAGATGGTTCCAACACCGCCGTTTTCCGCGCTGCCGCTCTTTTTGCTGTGGAGAAATCGAGCTTCGAGAAGCAGTGGAGGGGGTATGGTATCTTACGTCTCCTACGGTATGCATACGTCGTCCTCAGCAGAGACTAGAGTGAAGCTGGAAACCACAACCGGAAGCCATCATCAAGAGTGTCCGGTATCGACGTCGAGTCGAGGTTTGGGTTCTCGTCGGTAGGCAGCGATGTCGTAAAACAAGCCGATCGTTTCGTGATCTCGACAACCAGGTTACCGCTTCTTTAATTTTCCTTTATACCTTTGTTTGCGGTAACCATAATGGTGGTCGAGTAGGTTATATTGTTAGGGGTCGAGAACGCTCACTCCGGGCAAAGAGGGAGGATGATCGCACCACGTTGTGTTGAAATGGACAAGCACCCTCGAGGCAGTTACACAGTGCTTATCACTGTCTCTGGAAGTTGAACCATCAGAAAATGAAGTAAGTCATTCGCAGCTGTCATCCGTTGCAGGCAAGCACAAAGTGCCGAACACCCTTAGGGTGATGCAGCGCACCCTACATGCGACTCGCCCAATACCTAATGGCGCTTCGCGCTTGGTGATGTAAGAGCCTGGCCCGGTGAGAACCCGGCGTGCTCCGTCCCGGCTTTGTAGGGATGCGAGGTCAATGGTCAAACGACTACGGCATGCACGACTATGAAAACTTCCCGCCCCCTCCCCCCTAACAAACGCGCACGCACCCGCGATGATGGACAGAACGAACTCGGTGGCCCCCGTGAGCACGGAGATGTAGCCCCCAAACATGGCGTGCTCGACCGGTGTCCGCACCCCGAACCGCGCCGCCAACCCCCCCAGACATCCGAAAAACAGCTGCATCTGGCCCTGAAAGGCCTGCACTCATGTCGCGCCGATGAAAGCAAGGCGATAGCACGTGGGTAACGGGGGAGATGTGAAGTGTTTTGCACATGACGACACGAGGAAGAAGGGTTGGGAATGTCGTGCTGCCTTGAGGTCTTTTTGCCGTTGGACGCATTCGCGACGTGTGAACCTGGCCACAAACTGCTGCACCAGGTTTGAAGGCGTTGACCGAGGCAAGGTGTCTAGGTCGCCGTGTCTGGGCGGGGGGCAACCAGCGCAATCATGTCGGTGCTCGCCTCAGGTCAGGTGACCATTGTGAACACGCCCCGTTTCGAGACGGAAAAAAGCACCGCTCCTCCTTACCCCACCTCTGATCGGAAACGATCATCTTCTCGGAGTAACCCTCACCCCTTCACCCCGCAATATATTTTTTGTTTCGTACGATGGCGATTGTAAGACCACTTCTTGTCGCCACCGAGCGTTCTTCAGGGCCGGGATCGATTCGATCGATTTACACCTTCTAACATAGGGCACAGGAAGGCCGTGTATCCCTTGTGATGCCAAACCAACCCGGGACTTCGCATTTTGGCCTCCGCTTGCTATTAATAGCTGCCAGAAATCGGCAAAAACGTTTTCGGTCCTGCGCAATTGCGATACAAGTCTGAATGTGCACCAGCACCACGGGAAGGCCGCGCCAGCGCCACAGGACTTGTACTCTCTGCCTCCCTTCTGCGGAGCTGGCAGACAACAAAGCTATCGAGCCGGACCGAGAAGCCTGCGCTCTGCAGACAGCGTCAACAACCGGAGAGTATCTGCAGACACAACGTCGCCGCCGCCGAGACCGGGCGTGGCACCCTTGGTCTCAGCACCGGGGCAAACCTGTAAACCGCAGTAGTAGCCTTCGTCAGGATGTTGAGCTTGGCTTTAGTAAGGGTTACGGGGTTGGGTTGGGGGTTAGGGTGTACGAACCCCCCCACATCTCTATTTCATAGAAAAAACAACCGAGCCCTCGCGATGGCCGTCCCGTCCCCTTCTCCGGTGTCAAACGTGGCAGAAGGTGTTCTTCAAAACCGCCCGATACAGCGCCCAACTTCACCCCGGTGCGTCCGAAAAGGCGCAGGGTATACTCTGCCGTGGCTACTTGTCTCAACAATTGTACCCTGTTTTCGGAAATGTACCCTGACCTGACGGGAAATGAGACCCTTTCATCAATCATTCCCCCGCAGGAATCTTCCCAACTCCTTTTCCCCTCCAACCATGGGATACCAAACGGCGAATCTTCGCGCCGAATAACAACCATGGCAACGGGGCAGGAATCAGTTTCCGTCCCTGCGAAACAACACCAACCATCAACTCTCCCGCTCTAAATCAACAATGGCCGGGAAACACCCCAGCACAATTGTTCCGTTTGGAAACATGGACACACGCGTACAATACCCCGTGGACTACGGCTTGCTTCAGTCTAAATGCGAGATGCACGGGTCACGCTATGAAAGCGATACCGATCCAGCATGGTTGACATGCATATATATGCATGTGTGCGTGCGTGTGTTGTCTGTTGTGTTTCAATTGCGATGTGTTTCTTGATTGAACTACTGCTGTAGCAGCAGCGGTCACGCTTACCAGCCAACCAAGCCGACCAACCAATCAATGTAGTAAGAAGACGTCAGGCTTCAGCGGGATGAGCCGGTGAAATACAACGCGAGCACTCTTCTTCTCTACCGACAGGGAGGGTGATTGAGTTGGACGACACAGCAGTGTCCTTCTGCTAGAGTAAGGATAAGACTCGTGTGTGCGTGATTGATGTCAAGGGTGTCTGTGTGTGCTGGTCCTGTCTCTCCCCTCCACCCTATCTGCGGGCGCGAGCTCGCCGCCAGCACAGGGCCACACATTGGCACATACATGCATGTCAACCATGCTGGATCGGTATCGTTTTCATAGCGTGACCCGCGCATCTCGCATTTAGACTGAAGCAAGCCGTAGTCCACGGGGTATTGTACGCGTGTGTCCATGTTTCCAAACGGAACAAGTGTGCTGGGGTGTTTCCCGGCCATTGTTGATTTAGAGCGGGAGAGTTGATGGTTGGTGTTGTTTCGCAGGGACGGAAACTGATTCCTGCCCCGTTGCCATGGTTGTTATTCGGCGCGAAGATTCGCCGTTTGGTATCCCATGGTTGGAGGGGAAAAGGAGTTGGGAAGATTCCTGCGGGGGAATGATTGATAAAAGGGTCTCATTTCCAGTCAGGTCAGGGTACATTTCCGAAAACAGGGTACAATTGTTGAGACAAGCAGTCACGGCAGGGTATACCCTGCGCCTTTTCGGACGCACCGGGGTGAAATTGGGCGGTGACCAATGATATGAGTGCATTTACTGCTGCTAACGACTGTGTACCCAGGTGTGTCGCTTTTCGACCAGGATACCCAGTTGTGTCGTTTTCCCTTTTTTTTTCCACCCGTGCGATGCGCCTACCTATCTCACATGTAACGCTTCAGTGTCCTCGCGTAGGGGGTGGGACGGCCTTCGCGATGATTTAACCATGTCCATGAAATCCATAGAGCGGGCGGTTTCGTTTCGCATCCCTCCCCCTAACCCGCAACCCCCACTAAAAACAAGCTCGAGAAGGCTGCTACGGCTGTCTGTCTGCGTGCTTGGGGGACAATGGTCGGAGATCCTGTGGTCGGCTCGGAGATGCTGCCGTCGGCCCGCGGCCCCGGTGGACGACAGAGGTTTAATGGGTAACGCAAGATACCACACCCTCCTTGCCCAGGAGCTACACGCAGGACAGTTGCTGTTAACGTGTGCGAACTGCTGTACGACCCTTGTTGCTGCCGGTCACGGAACCGTCGGGGGTAACGCCAACATGGAGGGAGCTCGAGGGGTCCAGTTCCACCCAGCTCCATCTCCCTCGATTTCCACACGGCAACTGCCCGAGAAAGTTGGACTGCGTCATGCGATGGCCAGTTCCCCATCGTGGACCAACCACGCCTTCCGAATGATCCCCGCAAAGTGGGCTCTTGTTGCTGTTGCCAAATACTCCAGCAACACGTTATCGCCTGCTGATATCTGGACTCAATAGTACCTACTTTGCGGTGTAGACATGATCCAACCCTCAACCCTCCATTCGCAGGACGCCACAGGTCACGCCCCACTCCCTCACCTCCTTTAATCCCAAGAAGCCCATTTAGTCCACCCCCTGCCCTTTCACAACTCCTCTTTCCTAGTTTGCCCTCCCTGCAGCCGGTGGCCGGGTGCCGAAACCTGAGCAAGCGTGGGGACAGCGAAGGGTGGACTAAACATGCAAATTTGCCGTCACTTGTTGTATCGAGAAGAAATCACCACAGGGTTGCTCAGCAGCGAGTCCAAGCTCAATTCAATCACGCCAAAGCAAACCTAGTTCCCACGCAAGAGATAAGGCCAACGCCACAAGTGCGACGAGTATTTGCGCACGCGTGACGTGTCGCACTATGATATGCCGCCTCTCCATAAATACCGCTGTTCCTGGCTCTACAAGGGTAGATACGGAGGAACCATGAAAACCGTGCACAGCCGACTTCAGACGCGACCGGACAGGATACCTGTGCGTGTGTCGTTTCCGAATATCGTGTCAACCTTTCGCCCTCGAGCAAGCCCCGCAGAGCAATGATTTCCAGCTGCAGAGCAGCAGGGCCCCGCAGAGCAATGATTTCCAGCTGCAGAGCAGCAGGACAACGTTGCAGCCAGCGGTGCAGCAAGAGCCAGGCTGGGGTGATGATATCTTGCCGCGTTCCCGCCGGCTCTTGTTCGTTCGTCTCGCTGCTCCCCCGTCTCAGTCGATCGAGGTGCTTGTAATGCGTGCTTCGCTCCCCGCAACCAGCCCCCCTATCTTACCGCAGAAAAATCCACGGCTGGTTCTTTCACTGCTGCTGCTTCTGCTGTTGTTGCTGGCCCTTGCTCCGGCCCTTGTCGCAAACAAGGCCTGCCAAAGATGCACCGCGCGTGGGGTGTGCAAGGAGCGGAGTGATACCGTGAAGGGGAGTCCCCCCCTCACCTTACGGGGTTGCATCTGCGTGCCCCCGGGTTTCCGGATGCGGTGCCACTCCACATCCACACGCAGCGGCTCCGCCTGCTCTGTGCTGTGCCGGTATATCCTGTCTCCTGCACCGCTGCAGCAGCTCCACGACCCGGCACACGCGAGGGAAGGGACAGCCGGTGAGCCGGGGCGGGAGGTGGAAACAGGCCGGAAGTGCGTTACGCAAATTGAGAGGCATCATCTCTGCCCTGTTGCTGAGAGGTACGTAGCCGATGTTGCTCTGTTGCTCTCGCTACCGAGCGAGGCGGACTGCACTTTGTACGTGAGCTCACCTTGGTCCACACGCCATCCCGCCATTTTTAGTGCGATGCATGGTAAAATCAAACGCAATACGCCTGGTGTATGTGTACGATACTCGTGGCCGATATCCTTGGCGAAGAGAACTGGGGTGTTGACAACATGATTAGACGAACACTCAGGTGAAGAAGGTCCGCAGGCACAACGCGAAAAAGGTGGCAAGAACACCTTGCAGTAGTCTATCTGCGATGCTGTGCTACAGCAGTGTGTGTAGCTTCGCCGTGAACGCACCAGGCACGCGCGTGCGACGGGCGCGACGCGGAGGTGTTTGTGTGCCGTCTGCGGTGCTGTGCTAGTGTAATGCAGCTACAGCAGCTGGTGCACCAGGCACATGAGTGCGACTGGCGGGGCGAAGAGGTGTTTGTGTGCCGACGGGGGGAGCCGGAAGGCGGTCGGTTGTTTGTTTTCCGTTGATGCCACACACTGGCGACCTGGCGAAGAACCGAAACATGAAACTCTTCCCGCCGTGCGCAAATATTGAACTCCGTAGGGAGAGTTTGGCGATATCCTCCCCAGTGGGTTGCAAGCTTTTTCGTATCCAACTTGCAAGATGAGAGAGCCAACACATCGAAAACGACCTTCGGGCTTTCGGATTCCCAACCTGAAATGCTGCAAGGATAGGACCGTAGAGCAGCGACAGGGACGTGACGCGTTCAAAGGAACCATGTGCATTTCGCTTCGAACTCCCCGCAAATTTGGATCCAAACCTAATGCCGTCCTCGACACTCGTTTTACCCTAATAATTGGGCTGGTCGTGGCCGTAACAATGAATTGATGCACACCGAACGAGAGAAAGAGCATGGGTTGGGCGTTGGAATGCTCCTCGAGAAAGATAAAATTGCTCGATGATGTGCTCTCCAACCCATGCATGCGGCTGTGAATGACACCGAGCTCGCAAGGCGTGTTCACGTCACGGTACAGTAGTACGCGGCCTCTCAGATCTCCGTTAAGATGGTTGAATACGGCTACCTCCGTAAGGGAAGCGGGAGACGCTTTTTTTTTTTTCCGGTCCCTGCTTGCCCCTCCCCTTGACCCTCTCCATTCTCCTTTCCATCTTCCTGCTTTTCCCTTGGCGTGACGCCCTTGACCACCCCCACCTCCCCAGATAAAACAGCACTTCCCAAGTCTAGGGGGTCAAGCGCCGCAATATGTCGTTTCTGAATGCTGCCAAAAACGTTGCAGCCGCCAGAACCAAGGCGGCAACCGCTACAGCGGTAAGGAGCTTCTCCATGGCATCCAAAGCCAGGGAGAAGAACAGCCGTCGATTCTGGCCGGCCGAACGTTTCTCCGAACGCAGACACGACATTCGCCGACCAGAAGTTCTGCCGTCATCTACCTCCAATCGTCGAACCGAGAACATTAGAAGCACGCTCGTGCTACCGAGGAGGAAAGCGGCAGTTGCGGCGAAATTCCTGCTTCTTCGGCGAGCAGGTGACGGTGACGGAGGGGCAAATGATGCCCGACGGCGCGACCGACGAGACAAGCTATTGAGAGAAGCTAGTCGCCGCGGCAACGGAAGTTTAGTACCGGCGAGCCCCGCGATTGAATACGCCGGGAGGGAGGAGCGGAGCACGGAGAGAAAGAAGACGGCCGGCCAGATGGCTGCCCTGTTGCGAGTGCTGGCGGCAACGAACCAAGCCGTTCCCGCCGTTGGCGCTTCTTCTCCAGCTCGTGTCACCAACATGAGAATGTTCGACAAGACGTTGCGGGGGTACGAAGAAGCCGGCAAGTGGAGGCACGCGCTAGGCCTTCTGAGCCGGATGATGAGCGACGATTCGTCGGGCGTTCGCCCGGACTCGTCGACATTCGGCATGGTCGTGTCGGCTTGTGTCAAGGCGGGTCGATGGCGCGAGGCGTCCAACGTCGTATTGCGAGAGATGTCAACGCATGGGGTAACTCCCGACGCGATCACCTACACCTCTGTCATCGACGTGTGCGGAAAGTGGGGACGCTGGGAAGAATCTTTTCGCCTGTTGGATGAGATGGCCAAGGCGGGGCTTACCCCTAGCGTGTCGACGTACAACAACGCCATCACTCTGTGCGGTAGCCGTGGACGGTTTCAACTAGCTATTGATCTTTTGGATCGGATGTTGGCAACTGGTGTATCCCCCAACGTGGCCAGCTACAACTCTGTCATGACGGCTTGCGACCACATGGGCCAGTGGAGACAGGTGCTGGGCCTCCTGAGAAGGATGGAGGAGACAGGCGGTATCCAACCCAGTGTCCGAAGCTTCAATATCGCCATCAAGGCCGTGGGAGACAGCGGTGATTGCGAAGCCGCTCTGGCTCTTTTTCGTGAGATGTCGGCAACAGGGATCGTCCCCAACATGGACAGCTATAGCACCGTCATTAAGGCCTTCAACCAAGCAGGCCGGGTCGATGGCACCGTCTCAGGGCTGCTAGAGGAGATGTCGGAGTCGATGAAAGTAAATCCAGAGGCCGATACGATCGTGATAGGCGACTCGACCATTCACACAAGTCCAACAAGCGCTGGGATGGAAAGACAGGCGGGCAAGAAGTGGAGGCAGACCGTTGCGCTGACTAGAGAGGTTGAAAGATCGGCATTGTCGGCCTCTCACAACGGAGCGACGGCTAGATTGGGTCTTTCGGCAGCAGAAGAAGGCGGGAGCCAGACGAAATCCGGGCCGTCTGGCGGCAAAGCAACAGAGCCATCGAACCATGAGAATCAGGAGGATTGCGCCGAGGGCGAGACTCAACACATTCGGCAGCGAGCGCTGGTGCACTTGCAAAATATGTCTGGGACAGAAATACCCCAGACCGCCGGCAGCTATTCGCTCGCTATTACGCAGTACGGGCACAGCGGGCAGTGGGAGAGTTCGTTGGCGCTGTTGAAGCAAATGGCTTTGGCTGGAATTCCGCCCAACAGGAAGTGCTACCATTCCGCCATCGCTGCCTGCGGGATCTCCAAGAAGCACGAGGAAGCGCTGGAGCTCCTGAGGGAGATGGAAAAGGCTGGTTTCACGCTCACCGACAAAAGCTACCGGTGCGCGATCTCGGCGTGCGGGAACGCCGGTCGTTTTGAAGACTGCGTCTCTCTTCTGAGAGAGACTGCAGCCGCTGGGCTCCCTCCGAACCCGGGGACGTATTCGCTGGTCATCATGGCGTGCGGTGACGCCGGCCAGTGGGAGAAAGCTTTGTCGCTCTTGAGGGAGGCAGAGGCGCTAGACATCATCGCGAACGGCACGTGCTACAACGCCGCGGTGAAAGCGTGCAAAGATTGCAGCCAACCCGAGGAGGCAGCTGCCGTACTCGCGCGATCGAAAAAGCACACAACCAGTGCATGCCCGGTCGAGAGCAAGTAGAACGACGCGCCGGTATGCGTTGGCCAGCGCGTGTCTAGGGATGTCGATCCTCTTTGCTGTTTGTCTGTCCACCACGGCGTCGGTGGTACCTGTTGCAACAGTTCGTTTCGTGTTGGTGATTGCCGGATTGAGTTGTATCTGTGCAGTGTAACAGAATGTGACCGTTTGAATCCTGCCGATGTCTCTCTGGGGTCTGTCGCGGGTCCGATGTGCGGAGTTATGATTAATTGTATTTTGTCGAAGGTGTCGATGTCAGCGTTGGTTACGTTCCGCCGTCCTGCAGCATGCTAATGGGTTTTGCTCCCCGTCTATGGGGGCGCAAATGCTCGTTCCTGTCACTGCAAGGGTGACCCGTTTTGGGCCGCCGAAGCGGGAGGGGAGTATCTTGATATTGGTCGTTGCTGTCTTATGAAGTCAGAGCTTCTGAAACCCGGTAGAGTCGAGGTTGTTGCCTTTTTGCTCAAGGGTTCGAAAGAGAGGTGGCAAGAAGGGGAGGAGTTTTAGAGCTCCCCAGACAGCAACAAGGTTCAGAGAATTCCATCATTCCGTGCTAAACGAAACAGCTGAATCCAGGCATGGGCGCCTAGACAGAGCTGAGCGATGACTCCCAAAAATATGGGCTTGCAGAAAAGCAGCTGGAGTGTATGATAGACGTGAAGGCGCATTGGTCTATCAAACCAGCTTTTTCGTCTACAGATCTTGCATTGTTGCGTGTGGTGTCGACAGCGATTTTCCTTTGTAGGCACCATTCACGCTCTAGATGTCTGATGGCCACTCTCTACCTCTGTTCGTATGTTTGGACGCACGAGATTGAATTCTGCCGCTGCTGCTCTATGTGTGAATCCTCACGAATACATCGTTTTCCACCCAGAAAATCGAACTGCTCACAATAGGTATACCCAGATGAACCACCACCAGGGAGACCGCAAAAGCGCCTCGGTACCTACAGTTTTGACCTTTTTCTGTTGGCTGCCATGAAATCGGTACCTACGATTGTTCTCACAAGAGATATACAAGTAGGCGCGTTCTGAACGCAAAAGTATTCTACAAACGACAACTTTGTCCCGCCTTCCAACAGCAGTACAAGCTACTTAACGACAGAAGAAACGACACCATAAATCATATGCTGAGCAGCCTTTCCGCTATTAATGTGGGTGCACCTCTATGGTGAGGAGACTTCAGTATCCAAGGCACGGCGCCTAGCCGAGAACACACCTCATTGCCCCCTCGAAAATCGAGAAGCCACTTCGACTTTATTAAGGAATATTAAATACACACACAGAAAGACTCTACCCGTTCGAGATATACCCACAGTCGACTTCGACTTTATCTTCTCAGAGAGTGCAAAATCCCCTTTTACCCAAACCTTGCTCCCAAAAATGACGTGCCCCGTGCACGTCATAGGCTAGGTAGGGGCGCATCAGTCAAGAAAATCGAGAAACGATCTCCAATTTTCCTCCTCTCGAACCAATGGAGAGAGACTTCACCTACAGTATCTCCGCATTACCCAATGCTTGATTCCCAAACTGCGTGCCAGGCTAACGGGGGCGCACCATCAGCTCGCCGATGTCTGTCTTGAAGATGGCCGCACTTTCGTCCCCTACTTTGAGACGCTCAAACGAGTCGTGGATTGACTTGGCCATGTCCGTGCTTCCGCATAGTTCGGCTCCCGCTGGAACGGCTCCCTGAAGCAACAAGAGGATGACAAGCGATGAATGGTTTGGATCCTCGCCCTTTCCATCACAAATGTACCAAGTGTACCCGATGGTTCGTTGCTGGGCAGGTAGAAGTTTCAAACCATGAGCTATACGTACCGACGCGCGCACGGAAGGAATGGAGGAATCCATGATATATTGAGGCGTATCATACGGGACCGGATAAGCGATTGGGACACATCACAAAGTCACAAAACGTATAGCACCGGGCAGACATTTCAATTGAGTAGCGAGTGGATCGAAACAGGGGGTGTTCATCAACGCTTTGACTACACATGTAGTCTATGATCCACAACAACAAAAAAACGGACCGCAAAGTGCATGCCGCCCCAGGCACGACTGTCGCCACAGACTTGAGAAATCTCGGACCAGGAAGCGAATTCCAGAGGCGGTGCATCGAAGCCCGGGGGCGGAGGACCCGGGGGGAACTGAAGAGCGGGCTCGATCGTGTCATCGCCAAGGAAGTTTTCGATTTGCCGTGCGAACGCCTGGAAATTCGCGAGGAACAGACCGGGCAGAGAGGGGGGCGTCGAGGGAGGAAGACAAGCAATCGGCCAGTAGCATGACTAGTCTACATATGTAAGCGTGCAAATGCGTAGTCTAGATGAGAACCGCCGTGTCATGTTATGGAGCTACTGTGTAGGTTGGTACAAGAATTGTGTTCCAGTCGAGGTATATATCCCCTGTCAGTTTCCGTGATTTGAAGGGCGATACTTCACTACCCTGCAAGTGCCACTGACAGCAGGGGATAAACCGATGCTTCAGCATCAACACTATAGAAACGAGAGAAGTGCAAACGATGAACTTGGCACCTCGCAAAGGCACGAAGAGCCCGAAGGGTACTCGGAGTGAGGCATGGTCCTGATGAAAGGCTCCCATTCCGATGCCTTGATAGTTTGGACTCCTTGACCAGGCCCGGCGTAGGCCTCCACCAGTGCATCACCGAGCTTGTGCCTATTGAACATGGCGACGGCGTTTCGTTGCACTCGTTAGATGTTTTTTCAACGTTGGTTCCGTGTCGACACCCCGATGTTCACGACTGATTGAAAAAGTAGGAGCCAAACGCCTCTCTGCGGCTGATTTTTCCTCGTGCAACTGGTCAAGTCTTTGTTCGGGTGAACCACGCGAGCAGGTGGGCCAGAGTACAACATGACATGCGCTTACAGTCGACTTGCACTGGCATCGTATTCTCCGTACAGCCTTCCGTGTGATGTGGCTTGCCCAGGAAAAATGTTCTGGTAGTCTAGATTACATCGTCGTTGGGAACAAGTGCTCTCTAAAAACGATGTACGAGGCAAGGCGCGGATCAAACTACACGTGCATCCTGGGTGTCTTGGCAGTCTGACACATGTATGCGATACTCTGCCCATCAACCATAAAACACCAACCTGCCAATCGACACCACCGTGCTGATGCTGGTGCCCAAAACCTCTCTACCATATGTATGGTACCATGCACACGATGTATCTATGCATTACACATTCGCCACTAAAATTGAGGTTCTGACGATGTTCTCACTTGACCATGGTGGGTGGGCGGGGTCGGTCGTGGCGAATCTAACGCGGGTAAGGCATCGGCGGAGCATGTTGGGGCGAGGGGAGCCGTCGGGCGAAGGAAAGGTAAGCCAAGCAGGTGCATGTGAGGTGCACGGTCGCGTTAAATGTTGTTGAAATCGTGACAGTGCCGAATGTCCGTGATTCGTTCTTCGGTAGACTATGCTTTCTACCAAATTGCAACAGCACCGTTGATCCAAGACTCTCACGGTGAGCGATCGGCACCAGGAACGTTATGTGCGGAAGGATTGGGAAACCCCACCCGTACTGGAAACATTTGGAAAACCTCACCGTCGGTTCGGACCACCGTACAACGCCCGCGAGGCGAGGCAATTTTTTCCTTCCTTTGATTCTTCGCACGGCAAACGACACCAATCAACCCTTTCCACATCGGATGATGCCGGATATTCGGATCTACGAGCATCCTTCAAGCCTACTCCCTGGGACCGACACGTTTCACGGGAGGAAGGGGCTGCTGTCCTCAACGCCGGAGTGTCCTGGCCAAATGACTACACTTGGGAAGAGGGTGGTGCCTGCCATAATGGTTCATGAACGTGCGGCCCACCTTCTCCTTCCAGGCAAGCAAGATGCCGTTGTAAACGGCAAGCTGAACCTCGAGAGTGATCTGGTAGAAATCCGTTGTTGTGTAGTTTTCCCGGGTCGTGCTCCTGTTTCGCGGAGCAAAGGACGGCGGCGTGAGAGCTATCGCGAAGCGCCGAACTCTCACTCCCCCTTGTCTAAGGTCGGGTGGAGTCTCATAAACGTCACGCGGTCGCTCCGGCCCTCTTTCGAATCTTCCTTAGGTTTGCATTTGTTGCTGTCGCCCTCTTACTTGTTGGTATCCTCACAAGAAGTATGTATGTACGCGCAACGTTGTCCTGATGTAGAAACGTCAGAGGCAATCTCCGAAAGCAACATGCTCCATTTCTCCAGATGAAAAAGGTTGAGAGCTGATCATGGCATTTCCGAACGAACTCCGCTCTTCGTTTTCCGATTGCATTCGGTGTTGCAATGCAGGGACATACATTGTGAACATTTGAGAGAATTCAAAGGTGAGTGGTCAAGAAATGCCGTTCCTGATTGTTGGGTGCACGATTCAACTGCGGCATGTACATCTTGTGACGCGATTTATGGTCTTTAGCCATACACCTCCACGCAACATCCAGACTGACCTACGGCAAAAGGGGCTCACGTTTTCGAGCACACGTGATCGAAGGGGCTGGGCGACCTTGAAAGAGTGTCGCGTTGAAATATTGAAGCTGCTCTTGCAAGAAACACATTTTCAATCCCTGGTTGCTACAACCAGAAGCACGCAGGTTGTGCCGCACAACCAAAGCTTACCGTAGGAAATAAGCGATCTTGAGGGGAATGAGGGAGTTGAACTTGTTGTCGAAGAACGAAATGGCGAACTGCTTGTAGGGTGACTCGGCGGTTGTGGCGGACTCGTTGAGAACGTCGTGGACGATTTCGTTGTACCTGTGGGCATCGTTCGTAGATGTTGGGGGGGGGGGGCGAACGAGGGGTAAACACCAGTGCGGTCCTGGATCATACACCATAGTAGCAAAGGGTGGTCGCTGAAAACACCGACAGCATGCTGTTCCTCGAAGGTTTTCGGAACAGCTAACCTGTGGTTGACACGAGTAGCAGCCAGCGAAAATGTGTAGACGTCTGGTATTATTGCGGTTGGTCGCAACACAGGTTGAGCAATCGGAACAGTTGTTGACCTCAGCGAGTGATTGGAAGTTTCGGCGATAGACTACTCTAGCCCGATACGACACGAAAAGAAGGGTGCAAAACGCTCGATCGTTTGCGTCGGGTCCTCACGGCGCACCTGTTCGGCACGTATCCCACCACGTGTTTGAGAAATGAGCATGCATGCTTGGGAGTGACCTATTCGAGAGGGGTAAACCACCAAAAAACCCGACAGATCCAGGCAGGAAAGGATCTTACGAACACCAGCAAGTTTGGCCGACCTACATACCACAACCCTTCCCCTATCCTTAAATGCGCACAAGGCAGGGAGGCCAGCCCTGCCCACCTGTTGAGGTAGTCTGGCGCATCTATCGTGCGCGAGCTAAAGGCTTCCTCGTCTTCCTTGGAAGAGAATCCGAAGTAGCGGCCGGTGCTCCCGATGTGCGGCGTCACGTGCTCTTGAGTCGAAACGTACCCGAGACCATCCGACTCCACCAGAGGCTGCCACCTCTTGATGTTCGTGAGCTGTTGCATCGTCGAGTGCGTACAAGCGAGGGGTTAGCGTATGGTGGCTTGGGAAGCAGGCGGGATAATGGAACGACCGATTCACCATCAATGCCGAGTTCGCCTGCTTAGTCGAGGGAATATATTGCATGTCCACTGCATAGGTTTCCTGAACATGAACAGCAAGGTGTGTGTAGCTACGCGAGTCGGAGTGTGTCGGCCTCCATGGATGCCGGCTGAGGACTGCGGTACGGCGCATACTTCCCTTGCAGTTGCGGGTTAAACAAAACAAGCATTCCTTCGCTGATAAGGTCTGACGATTGTATAACGTCACCCGACGCTGGAGCTACATCGGGAGACCTTGGTGAAAATTACACAAGGGCCGAAGAAAATTTTCCATTGCCCTCCTCCAACCTACGACAAGCTACGGGTATGGTGCCCACCTACTACAAGTCTGTACGTCTCACCTCGTAGGGGCTGTTTCTGGGGACGTAGGGCGTCCACGAATGGCCCTCCGAATCAGTCATCAAAAATTCACCGGTGAACGGGACGCGGTTGAATTCTCGGCCTCCCATACTCCCGTCCGCGTTCCATCCGTCGTTTGCGGTGAGGTAGGCCCAGCCCTCGTTAGCGTAGGCCCGGCCAAGCCCCCACGGCGTCGACATGTCGATGCTGTCGTCGTCCCCTTCCTCCAGGAAGGACAGGGGGTGGCCCCGAGCTATCATGAGTGGCTCTATCTCAGCACGGCAGAACGGCATCGCCTTTAGCGCGGCGTGGGTGACTGCGTAGATCTCGGCCACCTGATCAAGGACGAATCCCGTATGACCTCAAGGTGGTTGGTACAGATGTTGGCATGAAGACACCCCCCCTCTGCGTCCCACCCATAATTCTAGTATGTTTTGCCTATGTTGAACATTGTCATGATATCTGTACCAGCGTACGCGCAGCTACGGGCTGTAGACAATTCCTCTCTGAAACCAATATCTTTCAGCTTGCAGGAACGTTGTTCACTACCGGTGCCACTGTGATGGGGCAAGCCAAACCAGTTCCCATTATACAGAAAATACATTACTCTTATTGGATCGTATTGGATGGCGTTCGTCCTCAGTACCTCCAGGAAGGAGCATCGTGTTGTCGGCAGAGAAACACGGATAGAGTTTGCGCTCAATATCACCACCTACAAGAAGCACGGTGTTCCCGGCTGGTGCTATGCATATCCATACCCTGTAGTGCAGGAGGAAAAGTTCTTCCTCGTCGTCCGTGTTTCCCGAACAGCGGCGGCGTTCGTCGGACGTGTGCTTGTCACCGAAGATATTCAGCCACGGCGCCGGTTGAAAGGCGCTAGCCACAGACCACACCGAGGTGTCAATAGCTGCAGAGCAGTAGAGGGGCAGACAGGAAGGGAAGGCGGGCAGCGTTGTGGCAGACAAATTGGACGTTATTTTCAGTTATCCGCCAAATTAATCTCCCGCCCGCCCGCTGTCCCTGCAGTGATAGAGAGCGCAGAAATTAGTATGCCTCTCTCTATAGACTATGTACGTACATCGTGCTAGACTATGTAAACTGAACGAGTGGGAATTACCTAGCAAACAAAAGGTGACCACTACACTCTCTTGGTGAACCTGTGAACCACAGGTACATATATATCGTGTCCGCTATTGACATTCACCCAAGGGTGCCCGAAAATATTTTTTCCAACACCTACGTACCCATTTTCTTGTTTGAGAGGTTTTGAGGGGGGGGGAGGGTACGAAGTGACCACCTCGCCCCGTAAAACGCCATAATAATCCTATATAAAACAATGCCATAGAAAATTCTTTATAAAAGGGGCCCCGTATGACGTAGGGGGGTCTTTGGGCATCGGCGTGCCCCCTAGCCTGTGCGCTGCGAGTGTGGTGCGCCCTGGTGAACAGCTCTTCGCAGAGGGGCACCATGCTTTGTGCGGAAGGTGAACTGTGCGAAGATGGCGATGATCGCAGCGCATTCCGCTAAGGAAGCGAGTGCGCCACGCAGACATGAGGGAGCTTGTTTGTCGAGACGTAGTGGGGTAGGGTGCATCTGGTCGGGTGGTGCATGTGGTTGTTCGCTTCCTGTCTGTGTGCTTTTCTTGTGTTTTTTTTCTTGCAACATCGAAGCACGTGCGCTAGGCAGAGATTGAGAGAGTTTGTCGCGACGGAGTGAGGGTAGTAGGCTGTACATGGTTGTTTGTTTTTCGTGCGGTGCGATTCCTGTTGTCGTGCTTTTCTTGGTTTATATTTTTTGTTGTTTTCTTGCAACATCGAAGCGGGTGTGCCAGACAGACATAAGAAGAGCTTCTTTGTCGAGAAGTATGAATGTAGTGAGGGTGAGCGGTACTACATGGTTGTTTGTTTTTGGCAGCTCGCTTCCTGTTGTGTTTCTTTTTCGTTTCATCTGTTATCTATCTTGCAACATCGAAGGAGAGGGCAACGAGGACCGAGATTTAGCTTCGTCCACTATTATATACAATTATTTCGATCCAATTGGCATTACATTATCTTGGCCCCGCAAAGCGTGAGCGCCACACCATGAAATCAAACACCCCCAAAACGTCAATAATAGTGTCGGACCGGCGCTATGAGGCACTATTCTGAATAGATAGTTGTTCTTTGTTGTTGTTTTTGTCTTCACATTAAAAACCGTTCCGATCTCTCTCTACCCAGTACCTTCATATTAATATGTCCGTACTGATCCAACACTTGACGCGGTCGATTCCCCCCGTGGTCACAGGCTAACTTACCCTAAAAAGGTACACTCAAATAAACTGGCCCCGAGGGGTCCGCAAGTCAATAGAAATCAACGACAGATATTCTGGAGTCCTCCGCTCCCTCTACGCGCTATGCGAGGTATACCAACTGAGACTAGGAGTCAGCATCACGGGCCAGAGAGAAAGAGGTGCACCCCCTTGGTTCAACTTTGGTGCTTCACACGCAAGCAGAGACAAGGCTATCTGATACAGAAAAAGAGAGAAAAAAGAGCGACAAAGAGAAAAAAGAGTAAAAAATATAATAATAATAATAATAATAATAATAATATAATAATAATAATAACAAAAGAATACGATAGAGCGAGGACAAAAAGGGACCAGGCCGAAAAAAACAAGAAATAACAGACAGAAAAAGGCACACGGTGGAGAGACCACTAACGAACAAGCAAACACGCCAACATGTCCACCAACCAGCGATACATGGTAGTAATGGTACGTCATCACTAGTGGGGGGTTGGTGCAATGGTGCAGCGTTGGGGGGGGGGAATTGGCCAAAAGAGTTTCAATCCGGCACGTATCACGCCACTCGGTCCGTCTCTTCTCGTTTGCTTTCTTCCCCATTGGTTGTTGGCTTGTGGTTTCGTTTGAGCGCTCGTTGTCGGCTGGCCTCTTCTTCCTTGTTGTGCCAGGAGATCATGAACCTCTCAGCTCCCTGCAGCACCGCCGCATGCCAGGGTACTCCGCCCTCCACCTTCGTGGCTTCCGGGTGCCGTGTCTCTCGGTACCGGGATTCCGAGACAACATGGATCGGTTTTGGTAGATCCGTGGTCGGCCCCGAATGCCTTCAGGTCGTCGAGAACACACCACTTCGGCCAGTTCTGTTCCTGTCCCGCCCCCCTACGTCGCTTCTCCCCCCCGCCAGTTCGCCGAGCATCAGTCTGAATAGTGCCGGTGCCCGGTGTAGTGCCGTTGCAACCCCGCACTACAGAGGGCCCAGTACTGTTGTAGTGCCCATGTTTCGTCTGCTCCAGGTCAAATAGATAGGTTTTCGTACACTACACGACCCACACGTCAATGAATCAGAACAAAAAAAATAGCAAAGGCAATAATTTAATTTGTGTCTTGTTTTGGGTCCCGGGGGGTACGTATACAGGTGTGCGGAGAAATTTCTCGGGTACCCTTGATTCACCACAAACATTTTTTCCGCAATCCACGAAAAAGGAGACGAAAAAAAAAAAACGCCGAGTACGCGGTGTGTGATGTATGATGAGCTTCAATAAAACTTTTGAACTACAGTTAGTTGTAGTCTACACTATCCTGATGAGCTTCATTAGACTACAGGATATTATATGCCCTGCATCCCATCTGGCTACATATATGTGCTGGAAGAGGGGAGAGTAGTCTACACCAACAAACACACGAAACGACCTCAGCCTCGACTATTCTGGTGGAGCTTGGAGAAACTTGAATTCGAGAAGCGAGGAGCGCTGCAACTTAAGATGATGAGCAGTCAAGTGCTTCCCAAGCTCAGCAGCTCACACAGATGACGTGTTTTCACTGGAAGAGCCCAGCGAACCCTTTGTACACCAGTCTGATGATGTTGATCATGCATGCAGCCAACTGAGCACGGTTGTGGAAAATCGTGCTGGGGGCCGCGTCTATCTGCATGTTTGATGTCGAGATGGTCGAAGACCGCCGAAAAAAACAGCTTTTGTTCGGGAGAGGCACAAATAATTGGGCTCACAATGATGGAGGAATCACGGTAGGAATCACGGTAGGAATCACGGTACACTCGCATCGGCCTTCGGCCTTTTTGGGGACAACCGTTGGCTCTTGAAAATGCCGCCGAACATTCTCGAGAGTGCGTGTTTGGAGACAACCATCACGTCTCGGATGGACACAGGGTCGCCGAAGCGAATCCTTGTCTTGCCAAAATGTCAAATTACCGACCACTGCCGGATCTCGGAATATTTTTCCTCTTTAGAAAGATACAGGTTAAAAGAGAGGGTGTGCGGGGAAAATATACTTTTTTCGCTCTGTATTTTTGTAGTTGCTCTCCCTACATAGTCGACCACACTCCGAAATACACTGAACAGGCGCTACGGTTGCTACGGTTTCCTGCCATCTTCAGGACGTTCCACTTGGGTTTGCAGTCTATTCGGACTACATGTATGTATTTCGCCCCCCTTTGCTGAGAGCCGGGCTACAGAGGGCCGGGCGGATGGTGATATCCCTGTGGGCAGGGACGAATAATCTGCACTCGAAACCAGTATGAAAGCGGGACGATTATTGATGAACGGCGGTACAGTCGTACACGATGCACATTGCAGTAGCTGCTGCTACAGAATTAAGGAATAATAAAAACACACACAGAAAGACTACCCATTGGAATGGACTCCATTGTCGACCGACCACGTCTACTGTAACGACCACGACGACCAGAGCCCGCCGTCCACATCCTACGTGTAAACAGGCTCACCTAGTAGGGCCCTCATAGCGACGGGAGTCTCCAGACCTTGGTGTGTAGTCAATGGTGAAGGGATGGCGACGAAAAAGTTTGCAGGTGAGTTCACGATTGCAGCGGGAATTCTCGATCATCATCATCAGCACTCGAAACACACTAGCACACAACAAGCTCTCGCTCTCATGGCGATACCACCTCTGCGAATGGACTGTACCTCCTGCACAAACTAGTCACACTCTTGAACCAACCTGAGGAGCATGCGGCCAGTGTCGGAATCACCGGATTGCTGAAATCGAAGATCTCGGTGTTCATGGAGACCTTGATCTCGTCGAGGTTGAGAGTCGTCGTCGTACCATTTCCGTCACTAACGATACCGTTCAGCGGGACACACGATGGCACTGGTGATGGGGTGCTGACTACGGCACGCGCGAGGAGCAGCAACACCACACCATGGCAGTAGTGCATCATCGCGAAAAAGCCTGAACTAAGTTTGAAGGCTCTTGATGCACGACGCAGCGTGGACGCGAGGAGTGTGGGGAGGGTCGGGGGGCGGGCGTTTGAGGAATCCGCAGCAGGATTGCAATTTCAATTTTTCCCGCCTGCTGGTGTATTGGAGTAGAAGAGTAAGAATGAATGTACTTTAACAATGAATAACACATAGACTATTGAGTAATTGGACTTACAAGCTGCAATTCAATTTTCAAAAAATATATGCCTCTTCATGACGACGTGAAACAACCCGCAGATTGAATTTTCGCCAAGAGAATCATTCTCAAGTCTTCGGCACCACCCGGTCATTTCTTAGAAAGTTCCTTCTGACGTAGATTTATTGATGTTCTGGGCGCACGACAGCGCCGCAATCTATCCCCCCACCTCTACCTACGGGCGAATTTTTCTGGGCAAGGTGTAACGATGAGACATGCCTACGCGACGGTGGCCTCCCTCCTTCTCCAGCGTGTAGTCGGCATGTCGGTAGAGGTACCAGGCACGTTGTCATATATTCCAGTCAACGGCGGCAATTGGATGATGACCAGGCCCAGGGATTCACCGACGAACGAAATCGCTGGTCGCAGCGGTCCGATGATCCAGACATCTGCTTGCTCCTCAGGTTGGTTCCACATCACTGAAACTTGCTGTTCGTTTTGGGATCAAGTCGTGTACCCCCTACCATCTTTTGCGAACTTAAGATATTGGTGCCAGCCAGTGTGGGTGTTGGCGGAGAACTTATTCAACAAAAATGTCACGAGGGTCCTACACTGTAGTGCGTGGGCCGGTACGGTCGTGCGTAAGTTCCTTTCGCTCTGGCGGATGTTGAATGCCAAGTAAAGGATGGGCGATGACTGTAAAACCTCCCCGACATGGGCACGTACATGCGATACAACGCAGAATATGATACAGTACAGCAGTAGGGAAGGCGACCTGGTCCGTCTGGTAATTCTGTAGGCGAAAACCAAGTTGTCCAGGGCAGCAGAGCTCTGATCACAAGAAAATATAGCATACATAGTCTACATCAGAAAAGACTTCCCGCTCGATTCGTTCAAGGCGGATGCGTTGAAGTCTTTATAGCGAGTGAGTCAAGAAACGGCTGGGTACTTGGCATATTTTATTGGTCTGTCTAAGCCTATATTCTGCTTGGCGGTGTCACCGTCTAGGCCATGTATGCCCAACAACTATGGTTTCCTGGAACAATCCACCCCTCACGATTTGCAGTAGAATTGGCTCCCTGCCCCCAATAGAGCGGGCTATTAGATAAAATCAGACCATCTGAAGGATGGATGCGGAGACGAAAGAGAGTGAGGTGGACATTTGTCGGGTGCTTCGACCTCATTTCATGACCTTGAAGAGGACGACGGGGGTCATCCTGTCACCCAACAGGGACCAGTGGGAGGAACTGGTATGGCAACACCATGTTGTAGACGATCAGAAGGTTTGTAGCGGAATGTATAACTTTCACTCTCAACAGCGTGCATCATTCCCACAGGGACACACGTATAACTCTTTCATTTATGATGCGCTTGGAAATACATTCAGACGGTTTGGCTTTTCCCCCTCTCTTTTCGGGCGATGTCTCGGCGATAAGACAATGATCAATATGATGTCATTGCTCTAAAAATATTTTCGGTGTTTTATCACCGCAATAATGACAGTACATGTGTCAGTATTTTCCGACACGTTCAACCGGTAATGACACAGATAGGTTGGTCGGAAGGGGTTACCCGTGATCTCGGCCATATTCGAAGTCCGCCCGGCATTGATGGAAAATCCGTACAGTCATTCACATGTACCTGATGGATTCAGAGATCCTCCTCACCCAGCACTTGCATGCCCCCGGCGATCCGTACACTCTCTACTGGATCGCACCGACAACCATGGCACACACACAGGCCGCAGCTCGGTAAGACCTCACACAGGACGCAACTACGGCGCATTATCGCAAGAGGAATCTTCGTGCAGATTAATGGTGACGACAAACAAAGAGTTGGCATATTTTGCCTAAAGTTGTGTGAAAAACAATTATCATCGACCCTACACGCGTGGATACTAAAGTCACGCGACGATGATATGCTCTGGGCTTAATATGACACGTTTACGATGTAGGATGTAGATTATTGCTGTTGTGCTATTTTACCGATTTTCGTACCTCGATCGAAATGGCATGTCGTCAATGTTATTTGTGAATAAACGAATTTTGGAGGCCACCAGAATCGATCATTACGACTCTTGGGATAGATTCTTGAAGTTCTCCGTTTTCATTGCCGTAGCCTTGCACTCGTTCACAGAACTTCGTTCGTGAGCACTAGCTAGCTCTTCTCTTGTGCTGAAACCTGCGGTCAACTACTGCAGGCGAAATCAAGCGTAAGGTCCATTGTAGTCTGTTGATCGTGCATGATCCCCAGATTCTGAAATATCATGGACTTGATATTAACATTGGGATTTTTTCAATGCCGAGAGATTGGCACGGGGGTCATTTACTAAACTGTCTGCGATAAAGATCCTGTGCATTACACCAGAATATTTGAGCAACCTCTGTCGCTTTTCGGAGAGCTGAAGGTCTAAGCAACGTTCAACGGAGTAAATCGCGCAGCAGTTGAAACGGTAGCATTAAAGAGAACACAAACATATTGCCTTCAGCGCACATCATATGTACATTCGTTGCTGTTCCACGGGCCGCTGTAGGTACCCAAGGACCATCGTGGGCTGCCCACGGCCTGGCCATGCTAAATACGGTCCATGAGCCCCATCCGGCCATACGCGGGATATTGTCGAACCGCGGGCGACCCATTGGCCGTTGGTACCGATGGGCGGCCCAAGCGGCGTCCACAACGTGTCCCAAGGGCAGCCCACGGGCTGTTGCCAGTGTACCAATCATGTAGCCGTATTTGCACCTTTGAAAACATGCGATCTACATAATGTTGTAGCATTAGAGGCCCCGTCGCGACGTTTGTCTCGTATTTGTACGGCATCCCAGTCCTAGCTCTTTCCCTCGTTTTAGCAATGTACGATCAAATCACACCTTCTCTCCCTTCTCCGGGTGTCTCTTGGCCTGCGGGTGTGAGAAACACCCCGCTCGTCCATGTTCACGTAGTACACGGGTTCCACGGAGAAACACTCCTCCACGATGCGCCCGCAGCTTTCTCTCTCTCTCTCTCTCTCCCCCCCCCCGATCCGGAACCGACAGCAGCACACGCATTTGATTGCTGCCTCGAAAAGGGAACTAACGACAGCAACTAGCGTCTTTTTGCTCTTGCACGCGCAGGAGTGGGCTGGCACAACAGCAGGAGAGTGCGCGCAAGATCGCTGGCCGCCGGCCAAGTTCCGTCCTTACACCTATCTAGCTTGAGCAAGAACGCTGGGATGGCGTCAGATCTAGAAGCAGCCGCGGTCGGCGAGCAAGGCTTGGGCACGCTGCTGCCGGTGCCGCCCTTCCCCGTAACGAGGTGCGAGCATCTGACAGCACGGTCGTCGACGTCCACGTCTTGAGCGTGGCTGGTTTGGAGCCGACTACCAAGGGGGGACGTTCTGACCAACGACTCACGTACATTGTGCTCTTATCACGTTATGACTGACATTTTTTCCCCTCAAACATGACTACTTGTCGGTAATGGCGGCTGCGGCGGCTACTTACGCATCAGAAGCGTCAATCCTCGGCTGGCCGAGGTGTTCCGGAGACAGGATGACGAAACCCAAGAGGCAGCCTTCATTGCCTACCTAACCGCTGGGTACCCCAAAAAGACCGACACAGTGGAGCTCTTGTTGGCACTACAGGTAGGAGAGCCCGTGATGAAAGAGGTTTTTTTGGGAGGGGCAGGCTGCCGCGGTGGCAGTGTACCACCTAGATACCCTTTATCGTACTATTGCTCGATCAGCAGCTGATCTCGACGCTCGATGTACCCGACATTTCGCAGTTGGTCGTGTGTTCCCGGCTTAAGTAGAACTATTGGCAGTTGGGGTTGGCAGGAGGAGGCGCTGGTGGGAGGGTTTGGCAGGAGGCGGCCATCGCGCGCTTTCGTCAATGATGTTCACTGCATATGGCAACGACAACCAAATGTGAAAACCTCCACCTACCGACGCCGACACCACTGCCGCCACATTTGTAGTCTTCGACTGCAGCACACCGCGACTGACTTCCCTTGTTTTCCTGGTGTTGGCCTGTAGGAGGGGGGAGTTGACGTCGTGGAGCTGGGAGTCCCTTTTAGCGACCCTCAAGCAGACGGGCCAACCATTCAAGCCACCAACCAGGTGCGTGTGTCGGTTCAGTTTTTATCGCCCCCTTTGCTCCCCTCCCCGGTGTTTGCCATCGGGGTTTGGGTTTTCGTCGCTTGGCAACGACGTTGTAAAACAAGCCCCCCACTCGGTGTTTGCCATCGGGATTGGGTTTTCGTCGCTTGGCAACGACGTTGTAAAACAAGCCAATTCAATTCGTGAACTCGGCAACCAGGTTACCGTTTTTTTTTTTTTTTACCTCGTTTTTTTTTTTTTGCGGTAACCATAATGGTGGTCGAGTAGATCATGTTGTGCGGGGTCGAGAAACCTCACTCCGCGCAACAGGGGATGATCGCACCACGTTGTGTTAAAATGGTCAAGCTTCCTCGAGGCAGTTACACAGTGCTTACAACTGTCTCTGGAAGTGAAAGCACCAGAAAATAAATTAAGTCATACGTAGCTGTCACCCGTACGCAAGGAAGTAAGCACAAGATGCCGAACACCCTTAGCAGGATGCAGCTCACCCTTCATGCGACTCGCCAAATACCTCACGGCGCTTCGCGCTTGGTGATGTGAGAGCCTGGTCCGGTGAGAACCCGGCGTGCTCCGTCCCGGCTTTGTAGGGATGCGAGGTCAATGGTCTAACGACTACGGCATGCACGACTATGAGTACACCCCCCCCCCCCCCCCCCCTTTGCTTCACGAAGGGGTTTCTGGGACTTGGCATCCCCCATTGGGTGGACATACATTCCACGGGAGAAAACATCGCACTGACTATTGATGGACGCACTGACTGTTGATGGTCAAGTGAGAGCGGTGGGAAAGCACATAGGAATTTGCTGTCACTTCAGCTTGTTTCTGGTCTTCCACGTCTTGTAGAACAAAATTCAAGGTTCTGCCGTTCAGTGGCACCCTTCTGTAGTGTAAGGCTGGAGGTCGATCTTGAAACGTGACGCGACATGCACAAATGACGGCAAGCACGTACTCGTCCAGTGCAACTTGATTTCCGGAAAGCTTCTCATGTGCATTCCGCCCAATACACTTCATATACTTGTTTTTCTCTGGCAGGTGGCCTTGCAGAACGGCATCACCCTAACGGAATGTCTCGAAATAGTCAGGGATGCTCGCGCGAAGGGCTTGACGATCGCCGTGGTCCTCATGGGATATCTCAACCCGTTCCTCGCCTATGGCTTGAACAAGCTCGTTCACGATGCTCATCGGAACGGTGAGACGATGAGCGAAAGGGGGGCGTACTCTACTGTTATGCATGCCTTAGCGGGTTAGACCATTGACCACGCGTCCTCGAAAGGACGGAGCATTGTTCCCACAGGGCCGACTACCGAGGTCAATCCTTCCTTCCTACTTTGCCAAACGGGGCTCAATAATGCCTTCCCTATTCTATCCGATGGATATCATTTCCGGCCTTTTCAACCCACTTGCTGATGCCCCGGTACAGCTACCGTCTTCTCCAGGCTATTCCATGCCTCAAACATCTCCCTGTACCTTCCTTCTACTTTTCCCAGCTCAGTCATGTACATTTCCCTCTCCTTGTACAACAGACAATCCGCAACCACATGAACACGGTCTTCGCACTCGGAGCCGCATTCACATTTGAACTTGTCATCTTCGTCGCCCACCTTCCTATACCTTCGTCTACGTTCTCGAAAGTTGTCCCTGGTCCTGAATTTGACCTTCAGCTGGAGAGGGGGGGGGTGAGACAACCTGGAAAGACCTGTCTGCCGGGAATTTTGCTTTGCACTTCGGCCAATACTCATGAATTTTCAGTTTTTCCAAAGAAGACATGTCCAGCCGTCCGTCCAAATTGGTATATGTGCGAATGTCTACGACCAATGTTTTCACATGGAAAACACCTATTTAGGCGCCTTTGTTCTGCCTGCCGTGCACGGGCAACCCTACTACAGCAGCGCTCTTTCGGTTGCTGATCAACGGCTGACCCGAAGGTGTTTCCGAAAGCCATAATTGAAGACTGTCGTCACTCGTTGAGGCGCACTAATCCACGTCTTCCCCGCAATTTCCATCTTGCTACGCTTGTTCAAACCAGGCGTTGACGGCTTCTTGGTGGTTGACCTGCTTCCCGACGACGCTCACGACTTCATCTCGAAGTGCCAAGAGTACCACCTGTCGTTCATCCCTCTCGTGACGCCCACGACCACCGATGATCGTATCCCTTTCATCGCTTCCACCACCGACTCCTTCGTCTACTGTGTCAGGCAAGCACCAAAGAAGCTCGTTCCGCACCTGCTATGTAGCGTACCCTGTTGCTAGAGCCGACATGCGTCGCGCAGCGTGGAGCAAAACGCCGCGGTCAACCCACACACGACGAGCAATGGTCGGGGCATACCTGAGCAACCTAAAGCGGCTGAAACCTCTTCTTCTTGATAGTGCGGAACTTTAGGTCGCCGGTGTGCTCGAGATGGTGAAAAATATCATCTTTTGTGCAGTCTGAGCCCACACATTTGTCTATCAGGAGTGCCGCAATGACATGGACAAGATATTTTCAGGACAAATACCTTGAGAGTTACTGCGTCGGTAGGATGAGAGAATGGTTGTGTGCACGGACTTGGATGTAAGCAGTCCGATTCCGCTCAAACTTGCCCCAACTGCGTGGCGCTGGTCGCGGGCCCACTGACCTCTGCTGAGACGATGAGGTTGAATCGTGCCCGCACCATCGCTTGTTATGATGCACATACCCACCGTGTGCTGCACAGTGTGACCGGGGTAACGGGTGCTCGCGCCCACCTCCCCATCGGCCTGGAGAAGTTCATCCGTCGCGTGCGCCGGGCGACAGGAAAGCCTCTCTCCGTCGGATTCGGCATCAGCTCGACGGAGCAGGTGCAAGCGGTAGCCGGAATCGCCGATGGGGTCGTGGTTGGGTCGGCCTTCATGAACGCCATCGATGAGGTGCGTGCAGGGGTGGAGTCGGTCGACTAAGGAGGTACGTGCATGTACCCCGAGGCTTTCTCACTTCGTCTTTGTTCTTGAATGGAAGTTCCCTCAAAGCCCTTCACCTTGCCGCGCTGAAAGGTGGGCGTATCGTCCAGCAGTTGATGCAGTCGTTGCTCGCAGGGGGATCTCGCCGAACCGTCAGACTCGGCTACCGAGCCCAAAGGCTGCCAGGTTGGAAAGTACAACGCCCCCTACCGGGTACGGTTAGACTTGAATTATGTGCAGTCCGCGCTACACCTGCTACTGTTCGTCCAACAACCCTTCTTGGTCGTCGGTGTTGATCGGGGGTACCAGTTGGCAAGCGACGCTCCCGCCAGCGAGATCGCGGCGCACCTTCGCAAGTACACCTCAGGTCTCCGGGCCGGAGTCGCCGCCGCCGCCGCCGCCACCGCCGCCGCCACTACCACCGCCACCAGCGTCGAATCGAAGACGCCCAGCAAACAGGCGTCCCGAATGCGGATAGAGGGAGAGCGGAAGGCTGTGCCGCCTGGTGGAAACATCGGGGCATTTGGCGGATGCTACATTCCGGAAACCCTTGTGGAGGCGCATAGGTAAGCGTAGAAAACGGAATCAAGTGAGTCTTTGTCCACCCCACAAGATTGCCAGGAAGCGAATGTAACGTAAGTTTGCCACGAGTGGGTGTTTCTGGTCCTACAATAGTGCGTGAGCCACTTCACTACGTTTTTAGAGTCATGGTAGAACAAGAAGGTTTCGGCTAGTGTGCATCCGACACGAATTCCTCCTCATGCTGACGGAAGGTAATAGATTGGGCTAGTGTGCATTCGACACGTATTCTCCCTCATGCTGACGGATGGTTGTGGCACGGCAGACAGCACCCTCTCAACGGCGGCCTCGCCAAGCAGAAGTTCAAGGTCAGCAGTGGCTCACGTCGGCGGTAACTACTGCGAAAATGCTCGTCTTCATGCCCGGATACGTGTTCGTGGGATGGAAGCGTCCCAGAAAATTACGGTCGCAAAATCACGCCTCCCCACTGAGTACCGCTCGTTCGCCCTTAGAAGAAAGTCGGCCATCATCATAATAGGACCATGGCTTGTAGCGCCCAACAGGGCTTTCACCGGTATCCAACCCGCAGTACTGCACATCCTATGATAAGACAACAGCAAGCGGACGACACCAGAACATGGTTGTACCTATAATCGGAAATAAAGCTACTCCTCGCTACGCCTGCAGGGGACTGGAGGAGGCATACGCGGCAGCGAAGGCAGACCCGTGTTTCCGAGAAGAGTTGGCCTGGTACCGTCGGGAGTACATCGGAGGCCCGACGCCCTTGCACCACGCCAAGAGCCTGAGTGAGGAGATGGGGGGAGGTCAGGTATGTCCCATCGGAGGGTCAGACGCTGCCGGAATCATCTGCAGAGCAAGTATTTTCGGACTGTGCAGCGCGTGCATCGCACATCTCCCTGGAGAGCAGGTAGTTTGTCCGCCTATATATTTTAGATCGCAGTGTGGGGGCCCTTCCTTGTCCGCGTTTGGGTGCCTCCCTTGGGTTTTCAACCAACACCACCACCGCCCCCACCACCACCAGATTTGGCTCAAGAGAGAGGAGATGGCACACACCGGCGCGCAAGAAATCAACAACGCCATGGCGCAAGCGCTGCTCGCGAAGCGCGTCGGCAAGACTCGCGTCGTCGCCGCCACCGGGTCGGGGCAACACGGGGTTGCCACGGCGACCGCGTGCGCTCTCCTGGGCATGGAGTGCACCGTTTTCATGGGCGCGGTGGACTGCCAGCGGCAGAAACTAAACCTGGTCAAGATGAAGATACTTGGCGCGCAGGTCACCTACAAGCGGATGTGTCCCACAGTACATGTAGAAACATGGGGGGAGAAGCGCAGAGGGGGACGTGTGTATCGATAGAGCAGAAGCGCCGGGATATTCTGCGATTTCTCGCTTCACCCTGTCCTGAAACCTCGAACCTCCGAACAAACTCAGATCGTTGCACTCACTACTCGCCATGTGTCCTCGCGCGCGGATCTGCCGGCAGGTGGTGCCTGTCGAACAAGGGGACCGCAAGCTGAAGGATGCAATCAACGAGGCCATGAGACACTGCGTGGCGACCGTCGCCGACACCTACTTCCTGGTTTCCTCCACCGTCGCGCCCCATCCTTTCCCCACCATGGTGAAGGAATTCCAGTCCGTCGTCGGCGAGGAGGCTCTGTCACAGGTATGCACAGCATCCACTCGCGGCCAACCAAGTGAAACGTACTTTCAGTCTGTCTTCCTTCATCTTCGGCCGACCTACAGTAGTAAAATACACAATATGTTTTTGGGCAGTTAGTCATGCTTGATCTTCAGTGTTCCTCGAGCATATCAGGTGAACGAGAAATCACCTGAAAAAAACGAAATATTGATCGACAATGTGGTCGTGCATCTGGTGGGGAGTGTGTGATGAAGTAGTTCATGGTGGTACAAGCCTTTGGCATTTTTCGCGGAGATCGTATGGTCACGGGGTCGTTTTGCCCTCCGTAACCTCTTCTCGTTGAGGCGCGTTGAGATCTGCCCCGATGCTTGTCCACAAACCCTAGCGATCGAAGCGTTGGGCAGCCCTTGGGAAATCTTTCCAGAGAACGAACTTTCAGCACCAGCCTTGTCCATTGTGAAGGAATCGGGCCGATAGGCAACTCGGGTTGATATGTGGGTACCTTGGGTCTCGGTGTGCGGCGTGAAGCGTGCTTTCACGCGAGCATTTTTGCATTTCACGAATGCGCATCGGTCGATTTCTGTGTGGTTCAACTCTCCCATACACCGAATATCTCCCTCCCAACGCTCTGCTCCACCTTGCAGCCTGTGTTTTCGGGGGCTTGCAGCCAGTAGCAATGGTTACAAAATGACATGCTTTCTGCATTTTCCTCAATGCCGAGAACGGGGCGATGCAAGTACGTAAGAGAAGGTGTTCGAACTGCTCAAACTTCCTTCTCGAAATTGTGGCGGCATGAAAGTTGTTCTAACCGAACGCGCACCCAGCATCGCCCTAGGCCAGTTCTGGGGATCCCGGCCGGCCCAACTTTACGACCGACCAACCCCCCGACGCTGCCAAACAATCAGGTGGTCGAACAGGCGGGGAGACTCCCTGACTACGTCGTTGCCGGCGTTGGAGAAGGGTCCGACGCGATTGGCATGTTTGACGCTTTCCTCAGGGACGGTAATAACGCGGGTCACGTGAGGCTTGTGGGCGTCGAGGCCGGAGGCAAGGGGAACTTCTTCCAATCGGCCACCGTCCTTACTAAAGGCAGTCCGGGCGTGCTGCACGGCACTCGTACGTATATTCTTCAGGTGATTCCCGGCGGAAAACGTTGTGGGTGGCCTTTAGGTGTCAACCTGTGGAGCCCATTTAACGCACAACAGTGGACACACTCGATTCGATATTTATTCACCACCTGCTCAAAATTACGGCATGCACGGTTGAGAAAGCCAGGAGAGGTACTGATCGATGACTGAGGGTCCGGCTTTACAGGAATCTGGCAGTTTTCGCATAGGAAGCATGGTGAAAAAGCCTCAGCCGCTAAGACATTTCCACAAAGACAGGGGCAAACCGAGAGCCTTCTATGCAACAGCTGCATTCGTTATGATCGTGCTTTTCGCACATCCGTAGCCTCTGGCTATGTGGAAGCCTCTGACTTTGCTCTTTCGCTCGCTCAGAATGAGCATGGGCAAATATCAGACACGCACTCTATTGCGGCGGGACTCGACTACCCGGGGGTGGGGCCGGAACATTCGCGGCTGAAGGATAGCGGGCGTGCGGGTGAGATATGAACCGAACCGTTTCACCTCCCAGGGGACAAACATGTACCGGAATGAATCCCGCCAGTTGTCCGACGTTTCAAAGCTAGCAAGGGCACCCGTGGAGGCTGCTTTCGACTGCCCTTCTACAGTAGATGCAGTACGACAGCACCACCTATTTGCGCGTTGTGCAACGTCTGTTGAGTGTTGGAGTGGGGATGGAGAAAGGTCGGGTCGAATCTTCTTATCCGCTTCGTGCAAAGAGTCAAACCGGGTTCTATTATCAACGGCACGACACGTGTCAAAGTATCTCGATTCGAACGATACCAATGCCGAGTGCTGGATGAAGAGTTCGTGAGTTTTTTCTTGAGATGGCCTTCGCGACTCACATCCAAATCAACTGGATATGTTCCGGGACCACGCTTCTCTTTTTTGTTTTTGCTGTTCTTGTATACCTTATGCTTCCCGTCCTCGGCTTTGGTCTTGCCAGAATACGTCGCGGTTGACGATGCGCACGCCATCGAGGCCCTCCAACTCTTGGCACGCACCGAAGGAATCATCAGTGCACTGGAACCGGCCCATGCGGTCTACCACGCTATGCAGGTGAGGTTTATCTATTTCGTGAGACGATAGGTTCTGGGTGTCCTGCTGACTGACGGTCTCTCGACATCAGCTCCCTATACCATTTTGTTCGCCGGGAGGTTGGTTGTTTTCGCTGAAAGGTTTTCCGAGAACCGGGGCAAACCGGAGGGTTCCGCACCTCTCCACGATCCAATCCCCGTTTCGTGTGTGGGGGCGATTCTTGTGGTTAGAAATGAAATAGAGCACGCACACCGAAAGGTTGCCGCGGTCAACCCCCAGACACAAAATAGGTGCGGTGCCCACGGTATCGGCAAAGTGTATGTAGAATCAACGCCAGTCGTTTGCCCCTCAGTCATGTTTTTGGTCGCTCGGATGTTTTCGGTGTTGGCGTTGATGCTGGGTAGTATGTCTGACCACACAGCGGCTATTGCTGCGCGTGGTTCGACTGGCGACGAAGATGTCGACTGCCTCAGCCCTTCGCTTTGGTCAATTTTGGAATCCAACGCAACCTTGCTGGCGTTGAATAGGCTCGATTCCACCCTCAAGTACGGGAGCGAATGGCCCATTTCTACGACATTCCAAGGACAGATCCAATATGTCATCTTCGATGGTTACCTCTCCCTTGCCCAAGCAAGAAGGTAACCATCTCTACCATCCGACTATCGATTATTCCCATTTCGATGCTCAAGCTCACGTGTTCCACCATGTGAGGCCGAACCTGCTACCAGGATATTCCTCGACAAGACACAATCAACACAGATACTCGTTGTGGATGATATGTAGAAGCCAAGTGCAGTGTCATGTTTGGGTCGTATACGGTATAAAATTGGACACACGGCTAAGACTGCGTACAGATTTGTAAGCGTTTCTTTTTGGCTCGATGAGGTTCGCTGGGCTCTTCGAGTCAAAACGCGCCAGCTGTGTGAGCTGTTAAGCTTAAGAACCGTCACAACCCCAACTGGCAGCTGGCTGCGAGCTGTGCGCTAGTCCTGTTGCCTGTTGTTGTTGGCATCTCGCATCACCATCACCGTGCCCTCCTGAGCCCACTCGGAGTATCTCTTGTATGTGCTAAGAACAGACAAAACATAGACAAAACCACGGCGTTTCGCTGTTCCCTGCCCGCGAACCCCAAAACGTGAGTCTTGGTTGTGAAACAGCTGGCCAAGGGACTACCGCCAGACAAGATTGTTCTGGTCAACCTTTCTGGGAGGGGCGACAAGGACATGGAAACGGTCGCTGCGTATCTCGGGGAAGCGATCTGAAGCCCGTTTGTATTTCATTCGACAAGGAGAGTCCGGTAGGGGCAAAGACACAGATGATCGAGAATTATGTCGACCAATAGCTGCCAAATGTTGAGGTGGATGGCCTGTCCAATGGAGAAGGTGATCTTGTTTCGTATCCCTAGGTTATCGCCAAACTAGAGGAAGAACTGGGCATGTCCGTTCAGTGGAATGGTTCTGTGGAATAGGTCGGGATTTGCCATTGCGTACGATCCGCGGGGGGTGGCAGAGGTGGCTGGCTTGGGAGACGAGGAGGGGGGATGGGTATATTGCTTGGCCCTGGACGTCAAACAAGAGGCGGAACGCGACTTATCCGGACGTTATCGAATAGGCCGGCATTTCCCAAAGTCTGCGACACGCCCACACGGTGAGGCCCTTGGCAAACTACGTTTGACCTAACCGACACTAGCGTTTGACAAATCTGGGCGAATGGGTCGGAGAGCGACCAACGCCGGCGAAGAAGAAGCTCGCGTGTCGACGTGAGAATTGTTGAGAAGCACGGTGATTGCTGGAATACAATCATCATGTTCTTTCAACAAAAGCTATTGCCGGAGTCCATGTAGCTGATAATTGAACCGCCAACTCGGAGTCCACCTCCAGGGATGCTATCCCTCCCTGTGATCAGCACTGTCTTGCCTGGAGATCACAACGGTACAATAGGTTCATCGGCAATACCAGTTTCCGTAGGCATGCAGAAGCAATATGGTTAATTGCCGCGGGAGAGACTCGACCTCCGGACCGTAGTTTTTACTCCTCTGGCATGTGTGCTGTTGGTTGTCTTGTCGTACTTTGTCCAATACCTAGCGGGATACATGTCGTTAATTAATGACCTCTTGAGTAAATTACAGGCCGTAGAGCATGACATACACACGAGTCCCTCCGTCTTCCCTCGTTTCCCTTCTCCCCCAAAGCGCGGAGGCGCCCAATACCGTTGCGCCGTATGATATATCCAACCCTGGTCTTGCATGCTACATAGCGAGAGGTTCGCTACCCGCCCCAATGGTACATCTAGTCCCGTTCTAGGATAGGATCACCATTGGCATTACACATGTGGGCGGCAGGCTAACAAGTAGCGCGTGCGCATGAGCGCACCGGTGGCCTGCTGCAGCCCAAACATCCTCCATCACCTATCACCTCGGAACACCCAACAGCGGTTGGTATCATGAACGAGGTGCCGCCTTCTGCACAGAGTCACTTTGTGGCCGCTCTCGAGTACATCCGCTCACATAATCCAGTGTCTAGTACTGGTCAGGTCAAAGTGGGTTGCCGACGCCGCCGTGTAGCGCGTGATTGGGGAAATATCCCGAAACAGAAAAAAAGGATCAACACCTCACCCCGAACGCCGTTTCTACCCGACAGGGGCGGTGAACCAACACCTGGGGGCACATATCCCAACCCCTACAATAACCGTCAGAAGGAGGAACCACGACCCGTCCTTGCATACTTGGGCGGCTACGATGGCTTCCTCGGCGTCATCTTTGGTCAACTCACCACCGCGCGAGCTAGTCGCTAGAAAGATGGATCCTTGAGCCGTGATCAACACCAAGGCGATGCGTCCCACCAAGGAACCTGCCGTGGCGAAAGCACCCACGTTCCTGGAGATTTTACCATCGGAACAGCACTGTTCACATATTGCGCCAACCACGACGCCAACCAAAACAAGGCCCAAGGCAAAGAGGGTGAGCGCGTCTTCGCCCTCCCATTCCTGGTCGGTGAAAAACTCTGTGGTGATTTCTTCCTCGGTCTCCCAGGGAAATTCTCCAGCCCCAACGACGTGCACACGATCAGCCTGAGTAGTCGGATGGAGTTTGGATCGTATGGAGAGTGAGCGCGCACGGCAGAAACGATTCGCTTTTTTGCTTCATAGAATAGTGTACGCACAGTGGCGTGCCATACCGGACACAGGGTTCGTGAGTCTGATCGTTTCTGGACCGGTACTATAATACAGCGTACCGCCGTGCACACCTGTATAAATACGTCTACTACATCCCATCTTTTGAAGAATTCCTGGTCGAGTAGTCTGGGGACCAGCTCTGAATGACACAGTAAACGCTGGCCCCACCCCATGATGGGTCAAATCCTACATTATGTGCATTCACCTCTATGTGGTGTCGAGAGACAATTTGCTATCCCTGTTAAACAACGCTGTTGTCACACAGCAGTGGTGCAGTTTTTTTGCATGTGACACGCTATCCCAAGCAAACGAGCAATTCGTCAGTACGCACCTGGAGACCAGGGGAAGCGAGGAAATTCGCAAGGGTGACCTCCGGGGCACCATCGTCCAACGTGCCTTCAGCACATTGAAGAGAGACAAAAGGAGAGTCATCTTCAGCCATAGCCTGAACAGCTTCTTCCAGCAACAGACTCGATTCACCCACCGTATGTACGCTTCGGTACGGATTTCCCGTGATGCCGTTGGTGAAGAAGATGTTGAGATAGCTGCTTCACAAGATCTCACGGGTGGCGGTTTCCGAGAGGATGTGATGTTTTAATCCCGTACGCTCGTTCCCGCGAAATGCCTCGTACTCCTGCGGTGTCTGGGAACGTGCGAAAGGGCGTCGAACGTGCTGTCGTAAGCATGATGTTTGACAAGGGATCTCGAGACCATACGAGTATGTCTGGGTCAACCAGCTGAAGGAACCTTATTCGAATGCTCTGTCCAATCACCCAACCTATTGACTAGAGCTGCGCTAGAGCTACGCCGCCGTGTGCGTGGTGCCTGCCTCTTACAGCGTTGCGTATGTTTATCCTCCCCTGTTTAGAGGACAACCGGCTTCAGGCCCGGAGGCATGAGACAATGATCCCGCCGGAGGTCTATTGGTACCTAGAACAACAACCGATCGGTGAAAGATGTCGCTACCGCCGACAAACAGGACGAGACGCCAACCCTTTCAACAGGACAGTGCATGCCTGTGGCGGGCGCGAGTTATCCCTCACCTCTCCCGAAAACAAACCGGAGCCGTCGACGACGGAACGGTCTCCACCGACGTCAAGCCACTGAAGACTTCGTTGTGCCAGGATTCGTTGAAGTAGGTTCCGTCGTTGGGTGATCAGCGGATCTTCACGTAGGACGAATCATCGTTCATCGTCCACCACAAACCATCGATCGCAATGATCCCAACCTCCTCGGTGCCGTTCGAATCGACAATCTGCAGTATGCGTATGGTACAACGGGACCTCTCGTTGAGAAAACGCTGCGAGGCAATGGCGCGGAAGGTTGGTTGGCGGAAGCCGTAGCGGCGCACAGGCGGACGAGGTCACCTGCAATGAAAGCGACCGGAGACGATCCGTTTCGGTGCCCTCGTTCCGCTCGACATCCAAGATGAAAGAAATCGCGCTCTCCTCTCCACCTTCGTCTTCTAGCCGCCGCACGGGCTCCTCGCACTCTATGCTCGCTGGGTCCTCGCACCACGGAAACTGCCGAGTCCACTGTCCGCTGAGGTCAAAGGCGTCTACAGTGCTTGGGCTTAGGCCTGAGCAGTTGCCTGCGCCACAAAGTGCCAACAGGCCGTACCAAGTGGGGCGGTGTCTAATACACCCGTCTCGGTTTCTGTCGATGTCGACCTGAAGTCCGTGATAAGTCCCAGGGAGAGCGGAAGGGAGAAAAACCCGATAATCCCGATCCACATGCCCATCCAACGGCACACACTGCACAGCAACGTTGTGTGGGCAGAAAGAATGCGGAAACATGTAGCGATTGAGAATCGTTCCTCGAGAATGCTGTAGGCCAATGTCTTTCCGAACATGCTGGTGGCGCCATGTATGGTACACTTGAGAGGAGACCATGTACAGCGGGCGAAGGTAGCGGGGGGGGGAATTGTTCGCCGCTTGTTTGCAATGTTATTGGCCAATTCAGACCCATTCACGAGATCGAAAAACGTTCGTCCACCCTTTTATGTCTCTCCACGCCTTCATACCACGGGCAAGGTTTTGCGATGATTTGACGCGAGAAGCAACAAGTACAACGACATGTTACCCTTTGAATGAGGAAACCTTTGTGTCAAGGGATGGTGGGTGTTTAGTCGAAGCGAAATCTTTCGAAGTTTAGGGATTTCGAATATTTGTGAGCGGAGCGCCTAGCTAAAAACATTACATGTGCGTTTTCCAAGCAATTGTCGGCCGCACGTTATCCCGGCTCCGTTCTTGTTTTCTCTTTCACTGCCCTTCGATCTTCCTGAGAGGGTTAGTAAGAAACGATCAGTTGACGCTCACGTGTAGAGTTTCCCTTCGCATGGCTAATCGTATGGGCCACCTTCGAATAAGTCGGAGCTGTTGCCAGCGCTATGGAGTAGGGCGGTAGAACTTGGGCAACTTTGTCTCACGGGTGTTGATGCACTCATCGGGACCATGGAATCACAAATGCCATTGAGGTTTCGGCAGAAGCTCAGCGTCACATATCTTCGTGTTGCGAGTGTTACGCCTACAGAGAATGGTATTCGGTGTTTGTTCGTTTGCCGTTGAGTTCTCAGCAGTTTTCCGTACAATCTTTGCCGCTTCTACTCGACGTGCGTATTGTGCCTTGTTGTTTTTGTGGTTTCTGTGTAGCCTTGGAGTGTCATCCCTGCGGAGAGTCACATTTGCTTGCCTGTTCGGCATTGGCCATTGATTTCGAGTTTGCGAATGGGTGTCTTGTCATCATGTTTTTGTCGAATTTAATTCTTCGATCCTCGATGCACAAAGTCTTAACCCTCCTCGTACCCAGTCCCTCCGCAAACTAAAAAATGTCGAAAAAATGTATGTCAGCCATTGGTCGAGGGTCTACAGTCCCTCCAAAGAATCTGAGCTCTTTGCCAGACAAACGGTGACTTGACTTCAGTATGAAAAGTGTCCCCAATACACGTGGGGACACTTTTGATACTGAAGCCAAGTCATCAAATGTTTCCAGTACCAGGCGATGTACAGAGTCAGAGGCCCAGGAGAGACATCACACAGCGTATCACACAGCATATCACCTTAGCCAAACATGATATTGTAGACCAAGGATTCTCACGTGCGTTTCACGGAGCCAGGGTGACTACAGTTGGGTATATAGGCATTTGAGTGCTGTACCCCCAACGTGTCCCCATTTGGGTTTCCAGTACCAGGAGGTTTAAAAGACCAGCATATCAGCAAAAGTAGACGGCATGCTGTCAATCACATATCCCTAAACTGGTGTCAGAATGTTTGAGAGCTGCGAGTTTTTCGCGGCTATGCTGTCGTCGATCGCGTAGTAGACCCCCGGGGGGTCTGCCGTCTCATGGATAGGTGATAGTCTAGCTTGATCTGGGTGTGTGCGCGTGGAGGCAAACCATACGACCTCGATTCCGCCACAAGAAATGATACGGACGACAGGCGACACCAAACAGCCACACCTGAAAGCCGCGAGCCAGCGCCCACCGCCCTACTGCTTGATGTACTGTCTGGCCTCGGTGACATCCCATTTCTGCGTCCACACACACCAATTCGTACGGATGACCGGAAGATTTGGTGGGTTGACGCCCTTCTTCCACCACGTTATCGATGCCATGAGGTTGTGCAAGGTCTGCGTCCACACACACGACTTCGTAGGGATGGCCGGAAGACTTTTGACGTCCTCTTTCCACCACGCCGATGTCATAAGGTTGTGCAAGTTGTTCTCCTCTGACACTCCCCCAGTGGCTAGCACCGCCACGAGTGTCAGCAAAGGAAACTGGCAAGGGTGTGGGGAGCGGAGGCTGGGGATCAGTGCACCGCCATGGTTCTTTTGTGTCGGTCATGTGCCGTTTGCGGTACTAGCACACATAATTTCCTGAGCGCGGAACTGATTTGAGCGGTTTGTTGTTTTTCTTTCGAATTGCCTTGATTAATATTTTCTATGACCTACGGAGGGAGACTTCCCCCGTACCACACATTCCGCACGGCACAAGGCCTTGGCGGTATCCTAACGTGTCTCTGCTACCAAAACACAAAATCTCCGTCCGAATACCGCCAGCCGGGACGAAGCTGTTGTATAGTAGCCGTCTTGGACATTTGAGCGTCTCAATAGTACGCACTACCATTCAGAAAATACCCCATGTCACGTCATACATCTACGTGGCAAACGCTCTACCAACTCCGAGTAACAGAAATATTAAGGGCCCGGCCTCTCGTAAGTGAGTTCTCACTCGTAACCTTCTCTCCTACCCCCCACCTTCGAAAGAAAAGGGGTGGGTGGGCGGGAGAAAAGTTGCGACATGTTTGCTAGCAATGGTCGCAACGTGTTACACACTTGCATTCCTCAACACGTGGCCCTTGGGTCCTGTGGACACGCGTCTATCAATTTCTTGCCGCAGGAGCAGAATAAGAACTCCGTGAGACCCTTCTCTTTGTGGGACCCCGGAAAACCGAACGAAGACATTCGAACCAGCAGGCCTCCAGGGCGGCACAACAAGAACCCAAATACATACGTACATGGATCTCGAAGATACTACGAATTCTTCATTGCACAATACACTACGGTTTATTCATTCTTCGACGACAAACCTTCCTTTGATTTCCACAAGAAGTAGTTTCCAGCCCGAGAAATAGAGTAATGCGTTGCTTCATACACAGAGCGCAGGGTCGTGGTGGCACCCAAAAAAAACGAAATCGATTCTACAAGAAACATCGAGAATACTAATACGTATACGGTCGGGTATTTCGGTCGCCTGCATATGGTCGCGTATTTCGCCACCGACCATTTCTGATGTCGGTAAAGCTAATACGATCACCGGTGTCGGAATTTGTTTTGACGACACCGCTCGGAAGACATCGAAGCCACCGTCACGGTATCTCCGCGGGCCTCAGCTGTCACGCAAGCCGTCGTTCGGCCCAAATCGACACGTCGTTTCCGAGAAACGCCCAAGAACGTGGCCACAGCACCGTTTTTCGGCGGTTTCGAAGATCGGGCGTATCTACGACGACGCTCAATGCTTTGGAAACCACCTCCAACGGGCACGGAACTGTTCCAATGGCCCCCATTGATCGCACATCCGTCCTTGCCCCAAACCGACACATGTTCGTACAAACAAATAGCTACAGAGTGTCGAAATTCGCTCACCATGTAGTGCTGTTCAACAAAAATATGAGATCTTTACGGTGGAAATGTTTCGAAAACGAATACAGTATCCACGCGCGCTCAAATGGCTAACGAACGATTTGCAAGAGACGAGAATGCCAAACACAGGCCGCTAGAACCTGGAACAATGAATGTGCAACACACCTTTGCCGTCGGGTAGTCTTTGGCCGAACATGCACTGTCAGGCGGCCACGGTCTTCTTCAGGTTGAACTTCGTCTGATGTTGTGCGGCACTCTAGGGCGCACGGACCACTTGCTTCGTTCAGTAGAACAACAACGTGGATTCTCTCATGTGTCTCACTTGGCCTCACATAATGAGAGCTGTCCTCGCTTCGCGGTCGACTGAAAAGCATGTCTTATGTCTGGATCGCAGCAACCAATCTCAACTGAAGCATCAATCCAATCCCGAACCTGGTCTAGGTGTTCGCATGCGTATGTGGACCTGGCAGAAACATATTTACATCCACCAACTGCCCAATCGCGGATATATATGCGAATTCTGGGACAAAATGTTTCCAAATTTCATTGGTCGCTGGTTCAAATATTCGCCGGGCATTGGCCGCCACATCCATTCTATGACGATGTTTGCAGCCGATAAAGGATTTTGTCTGTGCACGCATATACATCCGGCTGGCTGCGGAATGGGGTTGAAGAAGAGCAGTGCATGCACACATATATATGTCGTCTAGACGTTGAGTCAGACTACTCTACCGACGCGTACAGTAGCTCAGCTTCGGCCGCCCGGGTTTGTAGGTTTAGGTTTTCTCCACTAGTCACGGACGGCGGAATGGGAGGTCGGTTCCTATCATCGCCTGCAATACGAAAGGACTCGTTGTATCGTGGTCGAAGACCTACATAGAGATCACGCCGGCGACATCTGCCGTAGGATTCACTCCACATCGATAGACAATTCGTGAATCGTTCCGCCTTTGCTCATTATTCGTCACAATTTCACTCTTCTCACCTCACTGAACGCGCGTACCACAACGAAGCAGTGCTCTTCACCCTGACGGCAAACGTTCTCTGTGGATTCTTTCTTCGTGCTCTTTTTGTTGTGTCTCTCCTGAGTCTTGGTGTACACGCTTCCGAACGTATGTATGGAATTTGGCATTTAACCCTCTGCCAAGGGATGGTATATGAACCATATTGGCTGTGTCGAGAACAACCAAAAGCATCGGCTGGCTCTGTTATACGTTGACCGTCAGCGCGTGCCTCCCAAACACCAAGTTTTTGCTGAGTAGAAAGCCAGGCAGGGCTCATTCCTATGAATTCAATTCTGAAGCGTGTCTTGTCCCTCACTCTCAAACTCACACGCTGTTCTTAGACTTTGGTATTCGTCCAATTGAATATGGCGACAGTCCCCCCATTTCTCGTGGTGAGAACGTGTAACAACTTTTCTGTGTATGGGACCAGGAAAAACTACAATAATACTACTAACTGCCGAAGGACGCGAGATATGGCACCGGGTGTTGATCGCAAATTTATTCTTGGAATCGGCGCACCCCGGTGCCATCTCTCCCAGCTGCGACAATGCGTCGATTACAGCAGGACACCCCACGCGTCCTGTGAGTCAGCCGCGTGGAACGTTCCGCTGGGACATTCGTGGGGTTTCGCCTGGCATGTCTCACAGACACATGGATAGGATACTTGGGGCTCCAAGTGTTTGATCGTCCACGGCGACGCATGACGTTTCATGGACGCTCCAAACGGGTTCCATGGTCTTCCCACGTCCCATGTCTGCCGGGATCTTTGCAAATAATTTTGCGCCCCCGAGTGCTTAGACTAGCTCCTACGTCTCCCTGTCGAAAGTAATTTAGCAAGTAAACGAACCGTGGCCTCCTCGTCCAGTAAACACGAGTTCGGAGCTGCTCGTCTTGTTGGGGATGGTGATACTTGTTGGGATGGTGATAAACCTTAGCCCTTTGTCTCCACCACCGCAATATGCAGTCGTGGAGATCGTCAGAGGCGCCTCAACCTCGCATGTTTTCACTTGCACGAGAATCAGGACGCGGCGATACTGTTCGCCGTTGTTCGCCGCCCACCGTCCCAGCATGGACATCGCGTAGTGACATTTGTGCAAGTGGAAGCATCCAAGGTGCAGGAGGAGCGTCCTTTGAAGATCTCCGCGCCGTTCTCATATTTTGGTATTGAGCGAAAGTAAGTGACTGTCGCTCCGAACCCAGGTATGACGGGCCTGCCCCCCCCCCCCTTCCACCCCCTGCAGAATCCACGGCGGATCATGCAGATACACCCCTCGAACAATAACCATCCAACACGACCGTGTTGATGCCCGGACAAGGACAACGGCTTTGTTTCAGTGCGCCATCATCCTGTCTCGCCCCTGCAAATGACTGCTTGTTTCCGAATACCCGGTTATTTTTTATCGGAAATACTGTACAAATATGCGCGTTGGACATTTTCTTGTGGTGTCTGTGATGCTTGGCGCTTGTTCTCCTTTTGCCATTGCTACGTAACATCTACATGACACTTCTAATAGTATAAGCCTGTTTCACCTTGCTTGTTCCCTTTGCGATTGCCTGGAACGGGAAATCCAAACTCTCACTTGCCAGCGCCGGAACCATCTGCCCCGTCGCGCAAGAGTGTGGTGACAGCAACGTATCCCCTCCTCAACTACTGGTACTTGAATGCTTGGATACCTTTTAGTCTAATGGCGAAATACATACATACATGGTTGCACAGCAGTACGGAAGTATTGAGGTGAGAGCGATGTAACGATATCGCTTCTGCTGTAGGTTGGCATGCACTACATAGGGACGCGGTAGGGCTACAGCAGTAGTGCGTGTGACAATGGCATTCCGAAGGGACCGGTGGAGGTGCTCTCCAAGTGGAAAAAAAAAACTCTTCCTGGTGGGATGCTCATGAGACAACCGACAAATCTCCAAGCTCAGCGCAGCGTCGTGTCTGCGACCAAGGGCTACAGTAGACGTGAATCAGACTATGATATATTGTAGAGTTCACTTGCAGCGGAATATCGTGTCGGTGGCGGTGGAACAGGAACCCGCGGCCGCGCCACGGGCGTGTGGCGGAAATCAGCACGTCGGGACTACACCCGAGCATCCACCTGAGAGACAGACGAGGCAAACATGAGGGAAGGACAGCATCGTGTCTGCCATAAAGAGCTAAAATCTCACACCTCTACCACGAGAAACATTCGTAGAGATTTCTTCGTCTGAGCAGCGGTTGCATGCGTGACATCACCGACTTGAGGATTTAGCGAATATCCGTCGATATCTTGCTACCGCGGCATAGCTGCTTCGTACACCAAAGGCCAGACATCCAAATCCACGACACGATTAACGTTTTGGGTGCTTCATTGTGAGAGCACCCTCCTCCTCTCCCACTGTATAGGTAGGTTGGAGTTGTTCTCTTTCTTTTTCAGAGGAGAATTTTTTCCGAGCTGTGTTTTTTTTTGTTTTTGCGGCTCAATTGTGCCTCTGCTGTGACGGATGTACTGCTGTAAAACCTGCTGGGCACGCCACTTCTCCAATCTCCCCAGCGCACACACAGCACCGGGCAGAGGACCCGGCGGACGTGACGAGAAGAGTCGACTGATCTCAGGTGAGAATGCAGGTTCGGGTAGATCATCTGCATGCACTGCATGTGGTTGATAATGCTGCCCTGTCGCGTCATGAGATGATGAGCGTCATATGTCACGGAGATGAACATCGATCGGTGTGTGTGATCGGTGTGGTGTATGTATGTATGTACTATAGTCAGCAGCCGCGTACAACAGTCGGCGGTGCGTGGGTGGACCCACACGTTTGTGTCTTGGCGTAGTTTGGACAAGCTAGGTAAGCGCCTAACTTCAGGAGCAACGCACAACGGAGGCCCAGGGCCACTCGTTCAGACTGCGTCTGAATCATCTTGTGTTGTTGGCGATGTTCAGTGAGGGTCCCAAACGAAAGAGAAGCTAAATACAGATACTACTGCTGTACATAAATCCTGTCCCCCTCCCCAAACTGAAAAAAAAAAGTCGAAACAAAACACACCCAACTCTATGTTCTGCCGTCGTTCATCTTTGCTGCAGAGATGCTCGAGTTTTGAAATCGGTCCAGGGGGGCGTGGCATCCTGTGCAGCCTACGCTATTTGCTTCTTTTTGGGGCTTAGACCACGCCAACCGCATATATATATGGATGGGTGCACATCGTTTGTTACTGGTGATGACGATTCATGCATACTTTGAGCGGGTTAGGTGCTCTTGATATATATGTAAATTACGAACGTTGAGGGTTTCAGCGACAACTCGCTGGAAACTAAAGCATGGGGTAAGGCTAAAGCCACAAACCTACATGTAGGCTGTGCCTTCTTTTAGTACATGGGACCGTCGACATTTATGATGTCGGTGCCCACAGCAATGTTTGGAACCTAAAAAAAAAGGGAGCCTTACTCCTGGTCCCCGGCTTTCGTACGATAGCGTTCCGAAATTCGTCGGGCTATGCGAGGAGCTGTGTGGTCGGGCAGTCTAAACGTGCAGCTATCGTTGCTGACATGTTGAGGCGGTGAGGGGTAGTCGTTGGCTCGTTCTGGGCGTGCATGCAACACAAGAACACGGCCGTCAAGCCGTTGGGACCCCACCTTTCAGTTGTTTTGTGACAGCTTTGGGGGAAAGACACGGCGCGCGCGATGACGAAGCTATAATTATCACATATACAACCTTGTTCAGCTATGCTACTGTAAGACTGAATACAATTGTATTGGTACAGATTTGTAAATATCTCAGGGTGTTGTAGTTGTGATCGTTCCTTCGGCCCACTATTGCCGTAGGCCAAGACTGCCAGTGGAACTTGCCATTTTTTCGAAAATTAAGGTTCTCCGTATTGTTCTGGTTCTGTTGTGTGGTTCTCTTTGCAACAAACACATAACACCTCTACCTTGTAGCTACTGTAGTCGTGCAACACAGTAGAACAGTAATAGTAGTGCACAACACCTAGCTTTCAACAATTTGTCGTCACAGAATTGTCAGATGAAGGGCCGTCCGTCCCCGAAATCTTCGGGCGTCGTGTCACGTACGGCGACATCACGTCGCCGCAGGAAAAGCGGCGTTCCGCACCTCGTGGACCATCGTCCATGACCTGAAGGCTCATTTTCTATCTGTGAAGTTGGACGCGTAGCACCGTCCTCTGTAACCCACGGTGGGCAGAAACTTTTGAGCACAATCGAATCCAACAAACTCCAGCCTCAACCCCTAGACCTCGCGCCACCCGATTCCCTACCAATCGCACCCTATCAGAGCGCGTCGAACAAACACCACCTTCTTTCTTGAGCGTCATCGAAGAGAATGTATTTAAGCGTACCACGTGAACAAAGAGCGATCCGACGGACGTGGCCGACATTATGTGACTGTTGGCGTGTAACCGGTACGTGTCTCTCGTGATTTCGCACTACCGCAGTGTGCCCGCTCGTCCAGCGTTCTTTTCGACGCGGAGGGTGCTGGAAGGCTGCCGGGAACAGGTGGCCAGGGTTCGCGCAGTGGTGTTTCGCATCCCGCCTGTGAAAGATGGACGTCGTGCCAGGTATGTTGGGGTCAGGTTGCCATCAGCATGCAGAATGCGCAGCCAACCGTTCTTACGGTATTGGCTCGGTCGCTCGAAAACTTCACCTGCACGTGCGTGGGATGGTTTAGTTTCGGGAATTGTTGCAACGCTTTCGCACTGTGTGGGAGTTTGCCGATGATCACGGAATACGCCGGCGCCTTTTGGGATCTGTGCGGATTGAAGAAGGTACTGGCAAAGACTGAAACGTTCTTCAACTTGACGCCATTAAAACAACAAAGGTTGATTTCCATGTGCGTATCAGTTTATCTGCTGGGTAGCTCGTGTACGTTTGGGTGTGGGACGAAGACAAACGGGCAACTCTCGAACCCAAGGGACGAACCTCCGATTGTTTCCTACACTATCTCTCGCACTCGAACTTGTGGACGACACGGTCCGTCACATACATGATTTTCTGCGCAAAGACACCCGCTTTTTCCCAGAACATGATGTCACTCATGCCCCACAACAACTAAATTTTATAACGGACTAACCACCATCTTGGACAGAATCAGCCGTCCCTCGTCCGTCCCCCGCCCCCGTACGCGCGCCTGCCGCCTCGAGAGCAGGTCGCCAAGCGCGAAACCCCCTGGACGCCAGCACTGACACCATATCGGAAGTGCTGAGCTACTGCGCAAAGAGCGAATACTTGTTTCTCGCCGGCGTAAGCAGTAACTGGCGGAGCACCTGGGAAGCGGAAGGCCGCCCGAAGAAGACGAGCGTGTCCCTGGCGACCGCCACCAACGCCAGGGTGGAGACGATCATGGGCCAGCCCTCCTTCCACGCCGCAACGGGGCACCTGGGAGGCGTGTTCTGCCTCGCGGCAAGCGCGGGAAACCTCGGCGGGATCCAAACCGCGGCCAGGGAGTCCGGGGACGGCTGGAAGTCCCTCGGCCCCGTGGTAATGATGACGGCGGAAGCGGCATCCGCCGGGCACCTGCACATTCTCGAGTGGGCGAAGTCGTCGGGGTGCCGGCTCAGCGTCCACGTTCTGCGGTCCGCCATCAAGGGAGGGCACCTCGAAGTTGTCCGCTGGGCCCGGGACGAGGCGGGGGCGCCTTGGTTTCCGGACGCGTGCCGCCTGGCCGCCCTCGGCGGACACCTGCACGTCCTGCGGTTTTTGAGAGAAGAGGGGAGACCCTGGGATGAACAGACGTGTACTGTTGCGGCCGAGGGGGGGCATCTCGAAGTCCTTAAGTATGCGAGGAGGCATGGCTGTCCTTGGGACACCAGCACGTGCAGCTCCGCCGCCTGGGGAAACCGCTTGCAGGTGCTCAAGTGGGCCCGCGAGCACGGATGCCCGTGGGACGTAACCGTTTCGCACGGTGCCGCGCTGGCTGGCAACCTGCCGATGCTAATCTGGGCGCGCCAGAACTGCTGCCCCTTGGACAGGCGCACGTGCTCGTACGCGGCTCTCGGGGGACACCTGGAATGCTTGCAGTGGCTGAAGAGAGAAGGGTGCCCCTGGGACGAAGACACCGCTGCCTGCGCGGCGCAGGGGGGTTATCTTGAGGTTCTGCGTTGGGCGGTAGAGGAGGGAGGGTGTCCCTGGAATGAGCGAACGTGCGCCAGAGTGGCAGCAACCCGTCGACACAAAGAGGTGGTGGAATGGATGCAGGGCCTGCCAGTTATATAATGATAGTGCCGCAGCCTTCGCCCAATGCGCGTATTTAGTTCACCTCTGCTTTGGGAGGCTCGAAAATACTGCCTTTTTGGTATTTGCTACCGTTTGTTTCGGATGTTGGGAAGCGCGCTGTGTTGTAGTTGGATCCACCTGTTCCCGCTGACAAAAATGATCGGGCTCGATTCACGTTGGTCGGTTCATGTCACACCTCACGTTGTTTCCCCGCGTACACGGACGTTTGTAAGTATCCTCGGAGCGTCCGTCGGTGACATTCATATTCTTACAAATATCTTTAAGATCAAACTAAATTGGGGGGTAGCAATTTCGACGAAGGGTTCCGTCCGTCTGTGTGTTACTTGCTATCGATGTGGTATGATAGTTTTCGTGAAAATCGTGTTAGTGAGGCTGATTCGGCAAGACTTGTATCAATCCGTCGGTGTTCGGACCTTCCCTGAAATTCCTCAGTTGCATCGAGTGGCATTTGTTCTCGTATTGTCTTTGTACACATGTATTGGAAATTGCGTACGCACGTACGTGTGGTCGGGAAATTGTGTTCGACTAGGATCCATGTTAGAAACATGGCCAGCCGGTGGTAGGCTAGAGCTTGGTTCTTGGTCCCAAGGAACACTACTGGACGAGAGTACCTAGATGAGATGCCGTTTTATTGGTCATCGGGCTGCGTTCTCGTTAGTTTTACGGGGTCGATTTAGCCAAACTTCTTATGAAACAACACCAAGTTGAGAAAGAAAATTCAAGCACACAGATCCCTCGTCTGTATACACCGTGCGAACAGTACGGTCACCCCGAGGGCGATAACACGTGCAACGCGGGGGTGCCGTGGGGATTGGAGTCCGCATTTGTTGGTACTGGTTCACATCGATTCCTTCGAGAGAGCATTTCGTTTGTCGCGGGTCGGATTCTGCGCGAGCTGAATAGCCCCCTGATTGTCCCCACACCGCGTGTCCGGACGCGATCCCCTTCCTCCTTCACGGAAGGCTTTCACGGAAAGAGAGAGAACTCCACCCTAGTTGAAGATATTCCCATATATTCGACAATATGTCTGTAGTCGACAGCGCAATATACCTTGTCCTTTTGTACGCCTGAGGAAAACCACCAATGACGTGTTCACCCCCATCTTATCTGCTCTGCCTTGCTCCACCTTTCTCTGAGATCATACCATGCCCAGTCCCTGTGCACCGTGCACCAACGACGCTCAACAAAGTACCCAAGTGTAGAACACCTGGCTACCGCTCGCTCTCACAGCATTGTTTGCAGTGTCAGCCCTCCGTGCCGTGAATAGCTGGTCTGTGTCGCCGATCACATTAGTGTTCCAACTATCTCACGGAAAGGCCAACAACGACACCGCCTATTCTTCTGCGTGAAACTCCCACGCTTGACTCCCTACAGGGAAAGGGGTGTATTTCCAGTAATCGCCAAACTCCATGGCCAACTTTCCCGCCTTGCCTCTCAATATCTCAAGAGAAACACCCGGGATTACTACTAGTACGACCGTGTTGAGGTCCTCCTACCGAAGAAACCGACAATAGCAGCCCTCCTCGAAAAATAGAGTATGTCATCCAATCGTACACAAGAGCCACTTACAGTGCCACTCGTTCCTCCCCGACTTGGCATTATTTTAAGGGTTGCCCACCTCGGTCCAAACAACCCCGACCTAGCCTTTCACCGGAGCTACCGGTCACGCGATCATGTTGGGGAGATCTGACTAGGATAAACTTGCCAGAGAGGCGTGTGTTGGATAGCGGTAAATGCACCTCGCCTAGAACGCGCCAAGTAGAAATGTTGTCGTAAAAGTCACCCTGCACGCACGCACACACACACCCATGCTGGGAGAGACGCCCAAACATTCCATTGTAAAGAAAATGAACATGCACCCATAACACTCAATGGCCTGGAATTTTATGTAACCAACCCCGATTAATATAAACGATACATTGGCATGGCAGCAGGTTCTCTATCAGGCGGGAGGCGATACCGGCTTCGAATTTCTAAGCATGTACAGTCTACAGTGAGAAAATCAAGCGTTTTTCTGTTTGAGAGATGTTCTTCGTACTCTTAGTTGTCAGAAATATAGAGACGACCTCGACGCCGATGTACGTAGAGGTGGGTTGCTACCTTGCACCGAGTTCCCTCACAATTCAGGTGCGTCTCTATTGAAAGCTGCACCTCCCTTTGGTCAGCTCCGCGCCCTCAACACGCGTCTCTCTATATGTAGCCTTGTCAGAGGAAGCACCGGAGAACATAGGCTTTCACGTGACGGAGCGGATCGCCGGCGCAACCGAAAGGCAATCTAGAGTGCCCGTTTAGCGTGTGGAGCGACCGACCAACTTTGAACCACCAAAAAACGAAGCTGAGATAATGCACATCGCCCCAGGCCTGATTTCTAAAGTTCGAACAGTTGGCGTCGAAGTGTCAAAGCTTGGAACGTCGACCAACCATATTGTCTCGTCAGCTTTCCGCCCGCAATGGTGCTCACAAGGGGCGCAGTACAAGCTCGCCGACATCCCTTTTGAAAACGGCGGCACTCTCGTCGCCGGCGGTGAGCGCATCGATAGAAGAAGCTATGGACACCGCGATTTCGTCGCCACCGCAGAGTTCCGCTCCAGCAGGGACCGCCTCCTGCAAAAAAAGAACACGCACGTGCGATTAACCCACGACACCTTCAAATAACCTAAGCAAATTGGAAGGTGGAAACGAAACGCGCCTTGAAGCGAACGGTGTTGGCATATCGTCCGGAGCATATTCTTCCTGTCAGCCTGGGGGTTGGAAAGAAGTCGAACACGTGCTACAACACAAAAGTATCTAGTTATTTCTCGCCGTTGCTATTACGTGGTAGATGACAACGTCAACATCGTACGAGAAAAATACAGGGTGCGTCAACCACATATCAAGCTTCCGTTGCTGTGGAAATGGGTCGGTTGCCTCAAAAGAAGAGTGCCTAAGGCGGGAAACAAAACTCACCGCGCTGAAGCTAATAATTCGGTCACTTGAATCCTACGTTGTAGGAGTATCAAGTACGATCTATCTACTGTAGCGCCGGACAGTGTGGCTGTCCATACAATGCGTTCTAGGTGTTGTGGTGGACTAAGAACGTCAAATGTAGCGTTAGTGACAGGGTTAGTCCTACTGACGCGGACGCCTTTCTTTCGTGGTCACAGGCGAACCGCTCGAGGCCGAGCGCAAACCCAAAACTCACACAAACGGTGCTTGACAGCCGGTCGAAATAATTCTACGTACACTAAAGCTCCCACCACGGGCTGAGTGGGTACAGAATTCCCCCGGCATGTAACGGCCATGTCGTTACCACCATGAAATTGTTTCATCTGAGCATAGACGAGGGGGTAGGATACAATCTCCCGCCACATTCGTTTGAGATGATTGATTTTCGACAGTTACGGGGAATACGCTTAGAAGGGCTAGTTTTCCCGTTTGCGACAAAAAGAGTCAAGCGAGAGCAAGCCAGGAATAAATACGAATGCAGAGAAAAAACGACCACCAACAACTGTGAGGGACCACTATGTTGGCACGTGTATGCGCAGCTGGTGTTTTCCACACATGCCCGCATAGATGCAGCAAGTGGACGAACACGTTCCGGCGTGGAGGACCATATTCGTCGAGATATACGTACGGACTTTGACTATATTGGGTTCTTGATAATGATTGAGTCATGACCCGATCATGACTCGGTCATGACCCGATCATGACTCGGTCATGACCCCGTCATCGAGATCGATCATGACTCGGTCATGACCAAAGCAATTCTGGTGCTCCTAAACAATAGATTTTCTGCTTTGGCAGGGGCATGAAACCGATTGAAAAATATTTCGTTAACCCTGCCACCCCAAATCCACACGATAGATGCTAGGTTTGTCGCTGGGGGATAAGTTCTAAGTTGGTGCGCCGGCATCGGCGCTAGGTTGGCGTTGATGCAATTAATCCAGACGGACCATCGGGTCATGGTTGTGTCACGATGGAGTGATGACATGATCATGTCTCGATCATGGTCCACTCATTGTGACCCGATCATGACACCATCAAGACTCGGTAACGACACAACCATGGCTACACCATGATCGGGTCATGATCAAGCAGTCTGGCCGAATATTAATATTCCTGTGAAAGTGACCCGGTCAGGGCTCGGCCATGATCCGGTCATGATCGGGTCACGGAACCGGGTCATGACCGAAAGAACGACCCGATCATGACCGGGTCAGGGCCGATCGGGTCATGAAGTCGTCACTGGGTCATGGTTCGGCCATTACCCGGTCATGATCGGGTCATGACTGAGTCAAGACCCGATCATGATCACGACCACACGCTAACCCAATAATGTCACTCGTTGAAGCGTTACTTTGCAGAAAGCGCACCTCAAAGTGTAAACCGGCCCACACGCGGCTGTCTCCACACATCTGCGACACCTCGGTCCAGCTCGAAAATTCGAGGATGGGGCCGCCGAACTCGGGGGGAGGGAACCCGATTGGAGGATCGATCGTGTCGTTCCCCGCCCAGAGCCTGAGCGCACTAGCAAATCCCTGGACATGGAGCAACATGTGGTGTGTAGAAGCCAAGGCGTGAGCACAAAGAATAGTGTTCGGCGAAGTCCGACCTCTTCAGAGACCCGCAGGGCCTCACAGTCACATCGCTGGGGGCTGCGGCAAGATCGTTAGCTCTGGTCGTGTCCACTGGCAGAAACGCGTCGAAATATGTAGTGAGCGATCCATGCTTACTTTCGAGGTACCGGTTTTCCGCGCTGCCCCGTTTTTGACGTATGCAGACAACCACGAACATCCAACCCGAAAAATAGTCCAACCACAAATCGAGAGATATAGCGGAAACGATGATATAGCGGAAGCAATGACCCGCTGCATTCTCACGACAACCGTATCGCATCCTCAATTGACTTTACTGGCCACCACGGTATAGGAGAAATTGGCTTACCTCGCAGATGCACGAAGAGCCTGACGGGTATTCGCTGTGAGGCATGGTGCGAATGTACGGCTCCTGCAGCAGATGGTGACCAGCGGGGGGGCAAGGGTTGGTTCGACGCACTGCTTGTGTAGCTGTTGTTTTCGTCGTTTCTCGCCATCATCGTTGCTATGGTTCAAGCGATAAGATATTGTTCCAATGACACGTTTGGGTGTCGAAGCTATAACTTTCCACCACGGATAGAGGGAAACATTCGTTGGATCAGGACGATGCAGAAGAGTGCCGCACCCTTGCGAGTACATCCAGCGGCAAGAGTGTAGCAAACAAATGGCCGGCAAGAACCTTGAACTATGTCGGCGGAAGAGCGTTTATCAACCACGTTCGGGTTGTGCGATACTGCGTCTTCTTCTGAGGTCGACTCAGGTGGATGATTGCCCTGCTTCTCTTTCAGGATCGCCGGGTGTACCACTACACCGAAGATACAGTTCTTCGCTGGCTTTCGTGTTAAACACGGCGCTTGCAATCGACCCAAAGTGTTACTGGTTGTGTTCAGGAAATAGTAACTTGTTGGGACCACATTGCGTGTATGGCCACCCCCAAACTGAATGCCTTGGGTTAAAGGACGGTGCACGTCTCTTTCGTGAATAAACTGACAGAGATCTCATCGGCATTTAATGTAGTAGCGGAGCGGTCAGGAAGAGATAAAACATTTCCTTGCATCTGCCTGTAGTGGATTTCGGTTGGCGCATTGTTCGTTCCATGCGTGAAAATATTTGCCCAGCCAATGGGGAAACCTGATGATTGTCACTACCCCTGCTACTCGTTAGGGCGCCGAGAAAGCTTCCTAACGTTGCTTCGAGGAATCAATTCCGAGTTACAGCAAGTGGGCTCCTTTATCCTCATTGCGTTTTTAGGGTTGGGATCGGAATCGGTAGTGGGGGACGGGGGGGAGGGGGGGTACTCATAGTCGTGCATGCCGTAGTCGTTTGACCATTGACCTCGCATCCCTACAAAGTCAGGACGGAGCACGCCGGGTTTTCACCGGACCAGGCTCTCACATCACCAAGCGCGAAGCGCCGTGAGGTATTCGGCGAGTCGCATGAAGGGTGCGCTGCATCCTGCTAAGGGTGTTTGGCATCTTGTGCTTACTTCCTTGCGTACGGATGACAGCTGCGTATGACTTAACTTATTTTCTGGTGCGTTCACTTCCAGAGACAGTTATAAGCACTGTGTAACTGCCTCGAGGGTGCTTGACCATTTTAACACAACGTGGTGCGATCATCCCCCTTGCGCGGAGTGAGGTTTCTCCACCCCGCACAACATGATCTACTCGACCACCATTATGGTTACCGCCAAAAAAAAACAGAGGCAAAAAAAAAACGCCAACCTGGTTGCCGAGTTCACGAAGTGAATCGGCTTCTTTTACAACGTCGTTGCCAAGCGACGAAAACCCAACCCCGATGGCAAACACCGGGGAGAGAAAAGCTTCCTAATGTTGCTTGGAGGAATCCATTCCAAGTTACAGCAAGTGGGCTCCTTTATCCTCATTGCGTTTTTAGGGTTGGGATCGGAATCGGTAGTGGGGGAGGGGGGGGGGGAATGTTGGAAGGTAATACGTGATGGTTTGGTTATATTTTTAATTGGAACTGACAGGGTTCGGCGACAGTAGCCGTATATCTTGGCGAGGTGGTTGGTTGTGTTGACTGTAGAGATGTGGCAGAGCTGCTCGGACGAGGACTAGCTCATAACATCTTGGTTGAACCGCAATGCATAACCTTCAACATGAAATATCGCCCCATGCCCCGTTTTTCACCGACGTCGCATCGTGATGGGCAGCGTGAAACTCGATGGCACGGACAATCACGCGCCTACTATCACGAAGATTTGTATACTTACCCACTCCGATGCCTTGATGGTCTGAATGCCGATGTCGGGACCCGCGTAGGCGTCGACGAGTTCGTCTCCCAGCTCATTCCTTGGTCGGTCGTTGGCATGGTGGGGTCAAATCATCGAGGGGAGATAGAAGTTGCTTGGAGAGTTGGACTTTTGAATATGCTCCCTCGTTCGAAATCGACCCTTGACGCTTTCTTCCAAACAAATTAGCAAGAGCATGGGTCATGGGCTACGATGGCAAAAGAGAAAAGTTGGTACTGCTGACGCAAAAATCGAGCGGATAGCTGGAGTGCCGATACGCTCAAGCGATGATGACACCGCACCGGGCAGCAACCCTTCCCGCACCTTGCCGAATGACTACTACTGGCCGCGACATTCTTCACCTGATCACGGACGCAGGGCGCGGGGCATCATGGCGAACCTGACGATACGCAGCAGCGATTAGCGGGAAGTACGCGCGGCGAAACGGTCTTGTTTGAAAGACAATGGGGATTCTCCTGGAAAATGCATGATTCTTCCACGTGTACAACGCTCGCTGCTCTGCCGCGGTCCCTGCGTCGTCATCACTATTTCCAATGGATCCAGCGCACCATGTTTGTTTCAGAAAACACGTGGGAGGCAAGCCAATCGCGTAAACAAACCAAATGACTGAAAACAAATGAGGCGAGCGCAGAAAACCTCACAGCACTAAATCGGAAGGAAAGAAGCCCCCAGTCCACGTGTGTGTGTTATAGCCTTAATGTTTAGGCGGGTACAACAATGTTCTCAGGTTCTTGTTTCTACTAATTGACAAATTCAGGGCACCATCACGATTCACGCTGCAATTGTGAGTCGTATTGTCACCTTCTCCCTCCACGCGAGTAACACGCTGTTGTAGATCGCGAGCTGCGACTTGACCGATAACTCGAGGAAGTCCATCAGGGACAAGTCGCCGCGGCTGGTCATACACAATTTATACGGGGCGAAAAAGAGCCGCAGATGCGCTTTAGGACTGGCGACAAACGTAAGGCTGATAACGACATGAACATCGACAACATGGACAAGAGCAATATCGAAACGATAGGAGTTTTGTCCAATGGCGACATTGAACTACAGTAGACAGTCAGATAAACTCACTCAAAGAAGTACACGATCTTGAGTGGAGGAAGTGAGTTGAACTTGTTGTCGAACAAGGAGATGGCGAACAGTTTTGCTGGTTCAAGGGAAGCGACAGAGAGAGTACGCGGAGAAAGAGCAAGAGCCAGAAAGGAGAGGATCAAGAACAGCAAAATGATCAGGTGAAAAACGTTATAACGAAGTCCCCATGGAGGGGGCAGGACACAAACAGGAGGGAATCTACGCTTGCATCGGCCTTGCGCAGGGCTTTGCACGACGTGCCCCCAGCTCGTTCCAGTCAAACTCGGTTAGCCGAAACTAGTCCCAGGGTTTCAGCCAACACCAAGTGTAGACTTTCGTCGTTATGACACTGCGTGGTTCGACCGCTGTTGGGACTGCGTTCAAAGGTTTTATTTCAAGCCGATAAAGTAGTTTCGCCTCCTCCTCACCTGGGTCGTATGCAGCCACCGTTGACGCCTCGAGAACCTCTCTAGCGGCCTCATCGTACCTAAGAGTTAACCAGGCACGCGGAAGAGCGCAACAGATGATGGGTCATGTTTTTGCCTCCAGGCAAACTGCGATGACTTGTCTGGTGCAGTTTCCACGGGTCGAGTAGAATCCCGTTCACGCACACAGACCGGATGGCGCTCGGTTCAAATCCGCGGGTGACCTGTAGATTAAGGTAAACTCAGTGGTTTGCACTACCTGTCCTGGTACGGCGGTCTGTCGAGTGTTCGCGCTCCCCAAGCCTCCTCGTCCTCGGCGGTGTTGAAGCCGAAGAATCGGCCGGTAACGCCGATGTGCGGGGTGACGTGCACCTGCGAGTTGACGTAGCCAAGGCCATTGGACTCCATCAAAGGCTGCCACCTCTCGGTGCTGCTGAACTGGGAGCGACGGCAATTTTTTGGAAAGGAGCACGGCGCACAACGGACGGCGGGCAGGATTGCGAGGTCGTGGACGAAGAGAGCTAGTTCTCGTCCTGTTCTTCCATGGTTTGTGTCAAACCCCACTTTCCTTCTATGACGGCAAGACCATGGACCCATCCATTCTGTTCTCGAACCGGCCGGTCGAATCATATGGAGCTCGTTGCTTAACATAACGAGCGTCGATGAGAGAGAGCGCTCATGAGGGTAAAGTTTCAAATAACGTTTTCAAGCCTAAGGTACAAACCCCTTTACTCAAACCAGCCTTCACCCTCTTGGTGCGCATAGCCCATCTGCAGATCTTATACCTCAATCTTCTCGTGGTTTCGCCGCCTGCAGTGCATGCATCTCTGCACGAGCGGCAGCGGGTGGGCCGAGACGGAAAGAAGATATGAAACATGGCCGACTCTCTCTCGAATGAGATAAACCTTACCGATAATCGCCGCATCCTTACCTTGTAGGGTGAATTCTTCGGCTCGTACCCGTCCCAGCTGAATGGTGTGTTGGACGACACGAGGAGAGAGAGGCCCAAGTTGGCGAACGCGAGCACCGAGGGATGCATCCAAGAGGGACACTTAGGTAAGTGGTGTCCCCATCAAGATAGGCGGGGTTGAACGAAGAGGGGGCGTTGTCCTACTCCTGCTCTGGTCTTGTTGTCACTCACGTGCTTCCCGCCGAGTCAGAGAAAACGAAGTCGCCGGTGAAGGGGGTGAGGTTGACTTCCCTGCCCCCTAAGCGTCCATCTGCGTTCCAGCCGTCGTTCTCCATGAGGAACGCCCACACCTCGTCGATGTAGGCTTTCGCGAGCCCCCACGGCGTGTCGGTGCTAGGCTCAGGGTCACCCTCGCCGACGTCTACCAGCGACATGGGGACCCCAAGCGCTTCTGCCTCGGCGGCGATTTGCTCGGAGCAGTAGGGCATGTGCTTCCACCCGATGTACGAGATCGCGTACGAGACGGACACGCTCAGGTGCAAGTCGAAAATCGCACGGTCTTCCTCAGTCGTGGGCTGGCAACGCCGGCGGGCGTCAGAGGTCTCCTTGTCTCCGAAAATGTCTAGAGCTACTCCGTTGGGCTCAAACATCTGAATAATATGCGGGGAGACAGGGGATAGGGCTGTGTCCAGAGTCATACATACTGAGAGCCCCCGCCGTTTGGCTCCAAGTTGTGAGCGAGTTTTTGAGACGTGGCGGTGGGACAAACGGTGACATCTTCGCCTCCCTGAGGGGAGAGCGGCGGGAATACCTGAACATCATGTCAGTTTGATACACATCACGAACAGTCAAGCACCCCACCATGAAAAAACCTCACCGAGCCCACCGAGAAGACCGTGGTGTCCAGGGCTAAGAGGTGAGCCGAAAGGCGCGAGATCAGCAGCACAGCCAGACAAACAGCACAAGAACACCATCGCGAACATGAGGGGTGGGGCGGCAACGCATGAGCTAGTTGTGATGGTCTTCCCGTGTTGTCCGTTGTCAACCCTCGGGAAGTATGATACAGTCTAAGCGCTAACCGATAGATTTGATCCGGTCGGTGGCATGTAGGCGCCGAGCGCGAGGTTTGACTACAGATAGTATCGTTGTGACACAGCCGTGTCGGTTAGGTGCAAAGAAGCTCGCCTAGACTCCGGGTGTACCTGTCAAGAGCCGCAAGGAGATAGGGGTCTCGAGTACGCCGGCGCATTCGGCCACCTGTATGCGCGGGGTGGAGGAACAAAAGGATCGAACGAACAGTAGATGGACGGGTATGAAGGGTGGAAGGAGGCGGTGTCTTCGTGGGATAGAACTACCTGACGCGGAGAATTTGGTGAAGTACCTCAAAGATGCGGCAGGCCGGGTGAACTACTGCTTTAGCACTCTTCCCTTTCGATACTCACTCATATCGATTCCAACCGATTCCGCCCAGTCATGTTCGACGGGAGTTAAGCAGTCAATCGCACAATTCCAATGTGTACTGTATCTCAACCAACTACCTAAAGTGCCGGGGTGTGATGTCCCACATGGTTGCAAGGAAGAGCTTGTCGCACGTTACGAAATTATCAGGTTTGGAATGAATTCATGTATTATTACGGATTTCGCCTCTACTGCTGCAGGGCAGTTGCATACCACTCGTCCGCGTCCGTACCAACGGACTGGCCCCGCGCGATACCCTCCGACGAATCCCTGGATTAGCACGAGACGAGTTTGACTTTAAATATTCAGAAAGAAGTATTCCTTGAGGTCGGTGGTACCAAACCAGTGGGAATTCGCCGCGGTACGAGTTCACTCACAATGGGGACGAGCGGGGTGCTTGTAAAGGTGAGGGGGCCTAGGGTCTGCGCCAGGACGCTATCGGGAGACAGTAGGGACGCCAAATCGAGGAGACCTTCTCCCCCACCGGGAACTATCCCCTGAAGTGCAACACATGAAGCATTCGTCAACCCCGGCCCTGACAGGATTGAAAGTAGGCAGACCCATGCGGTCGTCGGTGTCCTCGAGGGCATTGCAAGCATGCGTACACGATGCCTGCACAACGCACAGGGCAAACATTAGATGAAAGCCCCAGGGGGGGGGGGGGGGGAGGGTTGAAGCTGGCTTGAAACAGTTCACTGATTGTTTCACTGTTGAATATTCAAGCAGTATAACGCGAATCACCATTCTGTTCTTAGGGTTTGGAAGACAATTGTGGCCTTCTTATATTTATCGGGAATGGACAACAAACCCCGCGTGAAACCTTGTTCCCAATATACAGTGTGTTTTTCTGTTGCCTACATCGGCAACACACGCTCAGCGCTATCCTTCAACATACCTACGCAACGATACCACATAGGCACTACAGTACAACAAACAACAGCAGTAGTCGTCCCCACGTACCTGGGGTCGCACAAGCTTCCACTCTCGGGACCGATTTTCAAAGCTCGAATACCCTACAGTAGAAAAACTGACGACATCGACAATGGTTTCGTTGGAGCTGTCTCGTCCGGAGTTTTCGAAAATGAAATATCACTTGTTGGGCGATAAGAGGATTGTAACCCAGTTCGAGCAGCAGGAAAAGAGGAAACAAAATTGGACTTCCTTCGTATATGTGCATACTGTAGATAGATGTCGTGTTGGCTACTGTCTGTGATTAGCAGCGTAGGAAACGAGAGCAATGCAAACCTACAACATGTGTGTATCTTCCTGCGGAACCACCACATGTATGTCCTCCCTGTGGGCCTCCGTCTCCACGATAACCGTCAGCTTCAAAGGAAATAATGATTCGGATGAGAGAACAAAACAAATCGAACTTCCTGCGGACATGGATAATAACTTGTTGATGAAAGTTGCCGATTAACGTGCGATTATTGTCAGGTCAGCTGGACAATGAAAGCAATGCGGAAACAACAGGTAGATGCCCGCCAACGCCTCTTGCGTCTCGGCTATGTAGCAGTGCAGCTTTCAACTTCGAAAATTATGCTTGCTGGAGCAGCCGCCCGACCACGAGTGAATATTCCGTCGCTGGATACGCCCGTTTGTATGCGGACAAAGTACTTTGAGGAGTTCGTCGAACAACTGGTATTCACACCGACTGTCGCAAATGGTTGGTGCGCCTCGCACACGTACTCACGAAGAACACGTCCGACAAGCGTGTGTTTTCCTGTTTTCATCACGGCCATCGCAGTGCACCCCGGTGTCTGCGTTACCTTCCGTGCCGACAAAATATTAGCTGTGTCCAACTGACGCAGAGGGCGGACCCCAACCCAAAGCGTGACCACCCCTTGCTCATTTGAAGGTTCAAGGCGAGAAAAACGACTCAGAAAATATGTACAACACATGTAGCTGCATTCATTTTTTCTACAACTGCCAGAACTGCTTGTCCGCCTGTCCAGACATATGGTCTGTACGTCTACGTTCAATACCGGCACCACGCAGCAAGGGAAGCGCCCATAGAAAGATCTTTCTCGCCGTTTCTGCGGGGGGAGCGTGTGACGTATCTATCTGCAAACAAGGCAAAGCAAGGAAGACACTGTTGCAGGTAAGAGTGCCACGTTTGCCCTGCCGATTTCGGCAAGTAAACATGATCCCCGGCGGGCCGGTTTCTTCTCTCGGACAACAGCAGTCAAGTTGATCAAGTTGATCTTCTCGGTTACACGAAAGAGCACACAACCGAGCAGGCAAAATATATTAACTTCGCACAACAGTGGCTCAAGTGGTTCTTCAGTGGGTAACCTCGCAACCGTCTGGCGTTGGGCAAAAATTCGAATGAAATCCCCCCGTGGAATCACGCAAAACAGCTACCAATACTTTTCGACGATTCGTGTTGTGCACGAAAACAATCGACTTCGGCACAGCTGGATCCTTATCGTGATGAGAAACAAGGCACACACCGACGACGAAGGAAGGCGGAGAAATATCTTGGGTGGTGGTGATCCTCCTCTGGCTCTGCGTGCTGCGTCCAATTAGTTGTACGGAAAGGTGGAAGAAGATGAGGGAACTGACTGACGGTCGGACGATGAGGGAATGGAATGGCTGGATCTTTCTCGCGATGTATCACAAACAAGGCACACGCCGCAGCCAAGGCGGAGTGACATCTTGAAGGAACCCCACCGGCTGGTGCGTCCAGAAAAAAATCTGCACCGAAGTAAATAAATGCGGAAGGAGCGACGTCCCAGAAAAGAAGAATAATTCACGGTGCTGCACACAACTCACCCCACCCACACACCCATGCGTGCGGTCGGTCATAGAGCCTATACTGCCAGCAGTGGAAGGACTCCTGCTTTGGCGCCGACAAAGGTTCAGACGTGTCAAAGAAGAGCTTGATCTAGTAGGTGAACCACCAGAGGTAGGAAAAGAAAAATAGCCAGATTCTTCCGCCCGAAAAATAATCCATCAGTCAGGCGGATGGACTTTCAGGACTCGATTCTTCACAACAAGTTCTTCTCAGAATAGCTGTCTATGACTACCAGACCAGCCGCCCAATACTTGTAGTAAGAAATTTTCGCCTGTTGTGACACATGTCAGGTTTTAGCAACGTGGAGTCGGAACTACAAGACAGCTAATCTGTCTCAAGACTGTTTTTTATGATATTGTAGAGATGGATTCGTTGTGTCATATTAAGACAAATTAAGAAGAAAAAAAAACACACACACACACCACACACACAGGGTTGGAGCGTCAACCGTGGATAAGACTGCTGTGAACGGGAGTGTTGTCGGTGTACATGTCGGTGTGAAACGGTTCCTCCGCAGGAATGATAGGGCATGTGGGCTCCAGTGGAGCTGAGGGAGGGACTGCTGGGTCGTGAGTGTAAGCCAGCTGTGCGATGATGGTGTGGCAAGGGGTAGGAGTAGATGCTCAACGTGTAGGTCGATGCAAAAAGAGCAGCGTCGTCAGTAAACAGCTCAGAGTCAACACATGTATCTGCAGATATTGGCAACTGCTTGCTCATACAAAAGTGTTCGGAGCTTCCACTGTAAACAAACCTGATGAAAACTTGCGAGATGACCTTGCATAAAAAAGCTAGAAGAACACAGGTTGACATAGCAATGCGTACAGCCCATGCCTAACGAGGTACATATCAAACTCACTCTATCAAATTCTCTCGGACCGGGCCCTCCGAAAACTCGCGACCATAGCATTTACAAAAGAACCGGTTTGGACGACCGGCCGGAACACCAAACAGATCATCGATCAAATGAAGATGCGCGGCAAGGTGAAAAAAACGTCAAACATTTTCGGGATCTTCCTCTCTTTCTTTTTTTTTTTTCTTATTATGACACAACGAAACCATCTCTATCATAGAGTCTGAGACAGATTAGCAATCAATGAATTCATAGCGTCAGAAAGTACCTGTATGTCTACGGTTTCCCAGACAGCATATATATATATAGGGACATCTCCCCTGCGGGTAACAGGCTCAACAAGACAGTTTGTTTGGTAGCTGTCTTGTGTGTCTCATTAATGTTATGTTGGGAAGGTGCAGAAGAAACGTGTTAGGTACTGGTCGGGCGTTTTGTGTGTGGCACCCTTTTAGTCGTAGGGCATGCAATCTCCCTCAGTTTTAAAACAAACGTATTTTCAATGTGGTACGCGTCTTTTTTTTCTTTTTTCTATTTGTCGTCTTCTT